GGGGAGGAGGGGCCTCAGTGAAACTATTTGTTTTTTTTTGTGTGGCCTCCGTTGGCACAGCCTCCATCTCGGGACCCGCCTTAGTTGGTACCCTTAAGGCAGGTGTTCCAGGTTTCTTTCCCCAGGACTCCAAGGGCGAGGTGGTTAGTTTTCTTCCTTTGCTTTCTTATCGGCCTTCATTTCTCCATTGCCCTGTGCAGGCCTTTAAGTGCCTGGCAAAATATCAGCAAGGCGTTGATTACGATGCTTCCATGATTTATTTATAGGGAAACGATTTCTTTGTCAGCCAGCAATATTGGATTATTTTTCTTTCAAGTTGTTTTGACATAGAGAAAGGTTTAAACCAATGAAGAATATTTTCTTATTAATAACTGTTTATGGAAGCATCTCTTTAGCCGCTAGGGGCGCTGGCTAAAAATGTAGTTTTCCTAGCCTTACCCTCAGAAATTCCCATTCAGCTGGCCTGGGGTGTGGCTCTGGAATCACTCCTTCCGATTCCAAGGGGTGATTCTGATGTTTTGTCATCGCCCACGCTTTGACAACACTGAGGACTGAACATCTAAAAATGTTTAAAGCACCTTCGGGAGCTGATGGAGAGCCAAGGGGGAGAAATGCTGCGGCCAGGTTGTGTTCTTTGTTCTCTAGCTTTAGTCGCATGGAGACTCTCATCAGAATCATTTTGGGGTGCTTGTTAAAATGTCAGTTCTGGGCCCACCCCAGATCTACCGGGTGGGATTCTTTGGCGGAGAAGCCAAGGGATATTTGTATTTGACAGACTTGCCAGGTGGTTCTGGTGCACACAAGTTTGAGAATCCTTGTTCTGCATGCTTTGTGTGAATGATCTCCAGATCTGTTTTTACAAATACTGGGTGGATTAACCAATCCAGCTTTTTTGGAGCACCTCAAATTCAGCCTGGCCAAAGCACCCCATGGCCAGAGTGGTGAGGAGGGAGGGGGCCATAACCCTGAAGAGAAAAGTCCTGACTTCCCTTTTTTGTTAATGGGTACACCCTCCTTCAGTCACCTGTGCTTGGCGTCTTGTCATCCTTTTTTTGAATCTACAGTCTTAGGGTTTCTTTGACTTTTACATCCAGAATCTCTCTTCTGGGTATTTTGGTAGGTTAAAAAGTCAAATATGGGGGATTTTATATTGTTTAAGCTCATATCTGTCATTCCTTCATTCCCACCACCTGTCCCCTTTCTGAGGGTTGTTTTGGTGGTTCCCTGACTGGTGTCCAGAGTTCTAATTCTTTGTGTTTTTCTATCCTGGACCACATACACTGCTGGCAGATTAACTTTCCTAGGATCATGCTAATGTGCCATCTCCCTCTTCCTCAAAACTGTGTTTTGCTCAAAAACTGTGTTTCTCAGCTTTATCTGCCATTATGTTAGTCAGGGCTGTTTAGAAGGGAAGGAACAGAGACTTACTCTTTTACCTCAGGGAAAAGGAGATTTATAGGACTTAATGAGAATCAGCAAGAAATCAGGATCCAAGGCAGCTTCACCTTCTGCCTCTCTCTCAGGGGCCGCATTTGTTCTGTTGCTTCTCTATTCATATCTGTTAGGTTCTCTCTGCTGACTGGTTATCTCAGAACTGTATCATTTGGCACATGGCCCATAATGACTGAGTCTTTGGTTTCTGATTCTGAAGAGTTCTAAAGAGAGGAATCTCATTGGCCCGGCTTATGTTTTTGAGCATTCACATGTCCCAGATCATGTGCCCATCTCTGATAATGGCTGATTGTAGAAGACAGGGCTGTTGATGGTAGCAGAGCCTATGGGCAGGCAAAGACCTACAGAAGAGGCACGTTTAGTACACCTATGCAGTTTTTCAATTTGACAGTTACCTATGATGTTTCTACTTGGTATATTCCTGTGATAGGTTCTGGGGATATAAGAACAAAGGAGAGAAAGCCCTTATCCTTGAGGAAGTTACAGCTCTAACCAGCCACCCTCACTTTCCAGTCTTAGTGCTTACTTTTTACTTAAACATTCCATCCATGCTATTCATTGTTCTTGGGTGTACACTACATAGTCGCTCGGCTGTCCATGTTTATCTTCACATGAGAATACCAAGGTCTAACTGTGCATGCCAGGCCAGTTCCTGACAGTCAGGGGACTACTTTTCTCTTTCTCAGCCCCAATTTTGTAGGCATTATGCCACATATAAGGTGGGTCTTGCCTCAAGAACTTGGAGTTTAGAGTTGTGGACAAGAATGAGTAAAATGGTATATGAGCAGTCAAAATTTAGGTGTATCCACAGGGTATAGAGTCTGAGAGTCAGGGCACTGGCCCAGCTTAGAGTAAGCAGCCAGTCAGTGGAGGCTTCCAGAAGAAGATAATGTTAGAGCCAATCCACAAGGATGAGTAGAAACTGTCCAGGCTTATCTGTGGAGGATGGGCATTCTAAGCTGAGGGGGCAGTAAATGCAGAGGCCTAGAAAAAAGAAAGTGTGGGGTAGCCAAGGGTTGCAAGCAGATTAGTCTGCCTGGACCTGGAAGAGTGGATGTGAGTAGGGAAGCAGCTTTGGGTCAAGGGTGGGAGGGATGGGACTGGGAGGGGAGACAGAGATGAGACTGGAATGGTAAGATGGGTCCAGATTGTGAAGGATCTGCAAATCTTCACCATCATAATCCAGAATTGTGTTTGAGTCCTGACTGCCCCGCACAGAGCAAAGCTTTTCATGGGAATTATAGAATTGAATCTTTCCAGTTGCTTTCAAAGGCTTTGAGTGTTTCAATCTCTTGAACAACTTGTGAGTAATAAAGCCATCATCTTTTGTTCTCCCAGCGTGAATTTATGGGGAACTAACAGAAGGATTTTAAAAGAAGCGTATTTTAGATCACTCTTGCTTCAGTGTGGCAACTTGATTGAGGTGGGGGAAGACTGGAGAGAGGAGAATAAGTTGGGGGACTGTCACATTGATCCAGGTGAGAGATGGTACAGTAGTAATTCTTAGGACAGGTGCCTAGATTACAACAGTTTCCTCTTTTCTGGAAACAGTGCCAATACTATGTGACCTTGTAACCCCTTCCCAACCCTGTGACTATAGTAAATTGGTTCTGGTTGGCACTTGACCCAACCTGGGACTTTTGAATCTGGGAACAAAGAATAGTCTGCTTTCTCTGTTTTGAGAAACTATCTTATTTGGGACTAGATAGCTATTGGCAGCCATATTCCCATTTGTGTAGAGGAAGTTGGTCTATAATGAAAGTAGATTAAGCCAATAGAGAACGAGAATTCTACTGGCATTTGAAGTCCAGTGGCACCCACCATTCCCACAGTGTGGTTATGGGAAATAAATCAGTATCCTTAAGATAAATTTCCTGTTTTGCTTAAGCTAGTTCAAATTTGTCTCTTGTACCCAAAGGAGTCTTGATTAGCATAGATGATGAAGACCCTAAAGTAGGGCACTGAGAGTCGGTTAGGCTGATGTGAGATGTTAGGAAATATGTTAGACAGAAAATGGTAATGGTTGTACTCTGGAGAGAGTGGTCGATGCTTTGATACAGTGGATGTGAGGATGGTGTTCAAAATGGAAGGAGTAAATTGAGCAAAGGCAGGTGTGTGGAGCAGCATGCACGTAGGGACAACTTTGACTGCGTCAGCTTCGCTGGGCTTTGGGAGGAAGTGGTGCTGGTATAAAGAGAGAAGAGTGGTAGTTAGAACCAGATCCTGGACGCCTTACTGAGGTATTAGACTTGATCCTATAAGATGTGAGAACAAGTGAAGGCATTGGATATTGGTTAATAAAAATCTCTTACTGGTTTGCAATGACAGAAGTCTCATATATTTGGGGATGTGATGTACAGCATAGGAAGTACAGTCAGTAATATTGTAATAACTTTGTGTGGTGATGGATGGCAACTAGACTTAGGGGGATCAGGAGGTACACTTTGAAACTAATAGGATATTGTATGTCCATTATACTTCAGGAAAAACAAAGTATCACATTCTGGAAAATTAGGAAATAAAATTTCTAAAGAAAATAAAAATTACATTAATGCCATCACCATTTGATCTGTTTCATTTCAGTATTTAAAAATGTATATATTTATAATAGTTGAGCTGCTGTATATGTCATTGGGTTTTTTTTTTTAGTTTTTTCTGCCACAGAATATATCACAAGCATTTTTTTTGGTCAATAATAATTTTTTGAAACATTTGGTGACTGTATATTATTCCACTGTGTGAACATAACTTACGTTATCTCCCATCTCTAAGTTTCTTGTTCTTATGAATAAAATTGTGTTGTATTTAAAATCTTTGTCCATGTTTCCTGTGTTTTTAGAATTGATACCTAGGAGTGAAGTTACTGGATCAAGTAACATAACTTTTTTTTTTGAGGATTTTTGAAAAATAGGTATTATTGAGGTACAATTTACATCAATATTATTTACCTTTTTTACTGTCCAGTTTTGAATTTTGACAAATGCATGTAATCATGTAAATACCACCACAGGCAGAATATAGAGCAGTCCCAGAACTTCCCCAATTCTCTTGCACCTAATGTAGTCCCCTCATTCTCCTCCTTTAGACTGACAATCTCTGATCTGTTTTCTGTCCATATAGTTTTCCTTTTCCAGAATGTCATATAAATGGAATCATATGGTGGAATAGTTTCTGTCTTCTGGTCCCCAGAGATACACTTCCACCCCATGTGCAAAACACATCACCCTATCCCAAGGCCCTCCAAAGTGTCAGCTCATTAAAGCATTCACTCAAAGTTCAAAATCTCATTTGAATCTCATCAGTTCTCAAGTTCTAAATCAGGTATGAGTGAGGCTCTGGGTAGAGTCCATCTTGAGGCATGATTCCTATCCATCTGTGAACCTGTGAAACTTGAGAAATAAGTCATATGCTATAAAATACAATGAGGGGACAAACTTGGGATACCAGTAATTGACATTGCTCAAGAAGGGGGAAAATGGAAGGAAAAAAGACGTCACCAGCCTCAAGTAATTTTATTCTCTTAGAGCAAAAATTTTTAATTTTGGTGAACTCTGATTTATCACTTTACTTTTTTTGAGGACCATGCTTTTCGTGTTATATCAAATAAATCTTTGCTTAATCCAAAATAGTATATATTATCTTCCAAAAGTTTTGTGCTTTTAGATATTTATGTCAATTTTAGTATATGTATTTTATGCAAGGTATGCATTGAGATTTGTTTATTTGCATTTTAATGTCCAGTTGGGTAAAACAACATGCCTGCTTTTTTTGAATTTACATTCTAGTAGTGGTAGATGGACAATAAACACGCAATATGATATATTTGCAATGGTGGTTAAGTGCCACAGATAACATAAAGCAGAGCAGGGGGGTGGGAGTGTGGGGGCCGCTACGGAGGATGTGTGAGGTTATTACTATATTACATCACAGGGTCAGGTTAGAATTTCCTAATCAGGTGAGTGAAGGAAGTGAGGGAGGGGGCCATGTGCATTTCTGGTGGAAGAGATTTAGGTAGACAGAATCCCTGGGGTGGCACAGCGCTTGGCATGTTCAAGCCGTGAAATGGGTAAGGGGGAGTGGTAGGAGATGAGGTCAGTTAGAGTCATCGAGACCAAGGTAACACATGTGATTTGAATTCTTTGAGACGCCATTGGAGGGCTTTGAGCAAGGAAGGATGGAATCTGACTCAGTGCTACTCCAGGCGGGCTTCTTCAGGCAGCAGCTGAAGTGGTAGCATCTCCTGGGAGCTTATTAAAGAATCAGACTCGGGCTGTACCCATACCTACTGAATCAGAATCTCTGAGGGTAAGGCCCAGGCATCTGTTTTACAAGGTCTCTAGGTGATTCTGATGCATATTATGGTTTAAGAAGCTCTGGTCAGACTTAGGTTTTCAGAAGATCACTGTGGTGGCTTGTGGAGGATAGACTGTGGGGAAGAGCAGTTGGGATCTAGATGAGAACTCACAGTGGCTTGGGCCAAGGTGGTTGTGATGGAGGTGGTGAGTAGTAGTTAGATGTTAAATATATTTTATAGGTGAAGCCAAAAGGATTCTCTAATAGATTGAATGTAGAGTGTCGAGGACGAGGTAAGTCATGGATAATTCCATGGAAGAATGGAGCTGGAGCTGCCATTTACGGAGATGAAAGAACAGTGGAGCACTTTCTTCTGTTTAGGGGTGGTGATGAGGATGGCTTGGGGGATGCATCTGGGATTTGGATGAGTTAAGATTGAGAGGTGTGTGAGTCATGGGAAGGGAGGGGTGGGCATTTTGACAGCTGAACTATGGGGCCTTGTTTTTACTCCTGCCAGTGGAGGTGTGTTTGTACAAGTGTAAGTTTAAAAAGGATAATATAGTTAGTAGTAAATTATTTTTTTTCTAATCACAAATTATGTGTTATTTAATCTGCTTTTAACAGGTATTGGAATAAAGATAACTACAGCTTTCTGTGAAGATGTCAGTTCTGATATCACAGAGTGTAATAAATTATGTAGAGGAAGAAAACATTCCTGCCCTGAAAGCTCTTCTTGAAAAATGCAAAGATGTAGATGAGAGAAATGAGGTAAGACCAAGTTTCCTTTCTTTTTCTTTTTTTCACGCCCAGTGTGGGGCTTGAACTCACGACCCTGGGATCAAGAGTCGGATGCTCTACTAACTGAGCCAGCCAGACACCCCCTAAGACCATGTTTCTAAAATTAAATTCTTTACACGAATATTTGTTGACTACCAACTACTGTGTACAAGGCATTGTGCTAAGCATACAGGTGAGTATGAAATATAAAGTTCTTAGGCTTGGTAAGATTGTTAAAAGTACTTCAAATTCCATACTTTTGGAATACATTTGAACTCATATACATGATTAAGTATGGAGTTTAGATTTATGATTGACTCTTTTTTTTTTTAGATGGAATAATCAATATTTGGGAAGTTTGATGACTAAAGTCTGAAGTGTTTCTAGGAAGTTTTAGAGAGCTTCTAGACCCAGTCTTCTTAGAAATAGATTAACTAGACAAAATTTTTAAAATATTTTCTTTAATGGAAACTTAGTTCTCTTTCTGCGTTATTCATTCCACACACTTAGGGATTTTAAACAGACTGCATCTTTTTTTTTTTAATTTTTCATTGTTATGTTAATCACCATACATTACATCATTAGTTTTTGATGTAGTGTTCCATGATTCATTGTTTGTGTATAACACCCAGTGCTCCATGCAGAACATGCCCTCTTTAATACCCATCACCGGGCTAACCCATCCTCCCACCCCCCTCCCCTCTAGAACCCTCAGTTGGTTTTTCAGAGTCCATTGTCTCTCATGGTTTGTCTCCCCTTCCGATTTCCCCCCCTTCATTCTTCCCTTAAACAGACTGCATCTTTAAGAGACAGTTAAATAGGTTGTGGGTTTTGTTTAATAAGATAGGGAAGTATATATTTACCATTTTTTAAAAAAGATTTTATTTATTTATTTGACAGAGAAAGAGATAGTGAGAGCAGGAACACAAGCAGGGGGAATGGGAGAGGGAGAAGCAGGCTTCCCGCCAAGCAGGGAGCCCGATGTGGGACTCGATCCCAGGACCCTGACCTGACCTGAAGGCAGACTCTTAATGACTGAGCCACCCAGGGGCCCCCATATATTTACCATTTTCATTAACTTCTATTAGATATTTCTGTTCAACAATACAAATAAGTAAACTATTGATTTTATTTCATCATGAAGCACCACAGTACAGCATTTTAGGGATTAAAAAACTTTTAGTATGAATTATTTAAGTGCCAAAGTTTGTATTTATTTTATAAAATTTAAGAAAAATAAAACTTAAGCTGAGCCTCACTGGCTCAGCTTGAAGAGCATGTGACCATGGTCTTCTGATTGTGAGTTCAAGCCCCACATTGTGTGTAGAGATTACTTAAAAATAAAGAAATAAATAAACTTAAGAAAAAAACAAAACTTTCTTAAAACTGTATTTTCAATGTAGTATAATTTTTTTGCCAGTGGATAAGGTGAATGAGGAGTGATAGATGTATATGTATGTCTGTATGTGTGTACATGTATGTATCTGTGTGTGTAGACACGTAAAGAGTTTCATTTTTTTTGTTATGGGGACAAAATATAAAATTTATCATCTGAACCATTTCATTTGTGTTCACTTGTGTGACTAATTCATAATGTTGTGAAATATCTCCAGAACTTTTCAAATCTAAAACTTCATACCTGTAAAACAGCAACTCCCTATTTCTTTCTCTCTCCAGCTCCTGGTTAACTATTCTTCTACTTTCTGTTTCTATGAATTTGACTACTCTCAGTACCTCATATAAGTGGAATCTTACAGTATTTGTCTTTGTGATGGCTGATTTCACTTAGCATAATATCCTTAAGGTTCAATCATGTTGTAGCATGTGACAAGATTTCTTTCCTTTTTATTTTATTTAAAGATTTTATTTTATTTATTTGAGAGAGAGAGAACGAACAAATGAGCAGTGGGGAAGGGCAGAGGCAGAGGGAGAAGCAGACTCCCCACTGAGCAGGGAGCCTGATGCGGGGTTTTACCCCAGGACCTTGGGATCATGACCTGAGCTGAAGGTAGATGCTTAACTGACTGAGCCACCCAGGTGCTCCGATTTCTTTCTTTTTTAAAGCTAAATACTATTCCATTGAATTTTGCTTATGCATTTATCTGTTGATGGACAGTTGGGCTTTTTTCTTCCTCTTGTCTGTTGTGAATAGTGCTGCTATGAACATGAATATGCAAATATTGTAAATGTTTTTAAAGTTGTGGAATCAGCAATTACTACTTTATGATTATGATTATTATTTTTGACATAAGGTACCTAATTTCATTAAATGTTAATTGTTGTAAGGAAATCTTAACATAAAATTTTGTTATTTTGTCATTGCAATAACCTTATGATAGTTAATGATTTTATTGAATCAGCTCATTTAATTTGCATAGCAACTCTTTAAAGAATAATGCTTTTATTTATCTTGATTTACAGGTAAATGGCTTAATCCCTTAGTTTCTTATCCCAGATATTAATGCTAGAACCCAAATTTGAACTCTGTTCTGTTTTATTTCAAGCTATAATCTGTTTATGCTCAATTGCCATTCTTTGAGTTTTCAGAATAAGTTCATCTAATGATATGCCGATATTTTCAGTGTTTCTATATTGAACACAATATGTTTTGGTTAGGTAACTCTTCTGTGATTATGTGTTGTCAATAATTGTTTTAAATAGATAAGAGAGAAAATTTGTAATTGGAGATTGTTCATTGTTATAAAGAGTTATTTACAAAAGTAGTCATTTTATTAGCATATATTAGCATATTTGGAATAATAAAATGATATTTTAAAAAGATTAAATTTTACTTCATAGACATTTTCTATGAGAATACTGAGAAAATAGCTTCACTTAGGAGAAATATAGCACATCAATAAGCACAAAAGTATATTAATCTTATTCCCATAAAGAATGAAGTATATTTGGTATAGAGCTTCACTAGATATCATGCATGAGGTAGCATTTAACTGATATTAATGGTATTTATTTTTAAATTTTTAGTATTAATTTATTTATCTAGAGAGCACACATTTGGAGGGAGGTGAAGAGGGAGAGGGAGAGGGATAATCTCAAGTAGATGCCGTGCTGAGCGTGGAGCCCGATGAGGGGCTCGATCTCACAACCCTGAGATCATGACCTGAGGCGAAATCATGAGTCCGCTGCTTAACCACATGAGCCACCCAGGCACCCCAGATATTAATGGTAATTATATCTAGTTTAGTATTGCATCAGTTGAAATTGGAGTTTTAAAATAATGATTTGAAACAACCTGGATTTTTCAATTATGGCTCAATGTGAGGGTTGGAGAGAAAGTAGCTTTCTCAAGGCCTTTTTTGGCATTTTGCTTACAGCTTCTGATAAAATTTAAACTTTATAGAGTTCTGTAAAGTTGTGTGGATTTTCTTCTCTTCTTTCTTGCCCTTTAAAGTATTTAATTACTTTATATTAATGTGTTTTGTTTATCAGTTTTGAAAAGGTCTCTTAAAGATTACATCAGTAAAACAAAATAAAATAATGTGGGGAAAATTGCCATACTGTGTTTAGAATACAATTGGCTGTCATCAGTAAATGCTAATTTCTTGTCTTCTTTTCTCTCTGCTTTATTTGTAAACTAGGTAGCTCGTGGCCTGTGAATATTCTCAATAATGGCAGATCTTTGCCCTTTGTAGAGAAGTGAAGACTTTCTTTTTCTTTTTCTTTTTCTTTTTCCTTTCCCTTTCCCTTCCCCTTCCCCTTCCCTTCCCTTCCCTTTTAGAAAAGAACAGAAAGTTACTCCCAGCTCTTCTTGGTACAAGATTATAGTGCTGAAGTGGGAATCTAAATTCAAGGGGTGCATTTTGTTATGTGCTTAGAAAAAGGCTCTGAGGGACATTTCAAAGGGAAATTTAAAAATGTTTTAATTTCACTAACATTATTGGAAGAAGTATACATTCTCCAGAGGTTTGCTTTAAAGGGCAATGGTTATTGAGGTCTAGTACATCTAAATAAATAGAAGTAGGACTACCTAGGAATTGGGAAGAGCAAAGAGATGCTGAATAGGAAATATTTTTGCATTGTAGTCTTCTGGGAAGCTGAGATAAGTATGGGACCTGTTGGGGAAACTTCAGTTGGTGCAGTGTTTGTTCTAATGTGTTTTGGCTTGAGGTTATTACAAGTGGAGTAGGGTTACATGAAGTATGTCATTCTGTGTATTTTGGGAAGCAATGGACTTGGGGTTTACTGGATGTGTGGGATTAGGTATGGAAGGGGCCTTTAGTGATTCATTTTGAAGCAGAAAAATAAAGTTGTCATGGCTGTTTCTAAGTTACTCTGTCTCCAGAAGTGTAGTTACAGGATTGGTTAAGCAAGTACTAATAGAATAAATAAATGTTTTGTTATAAGGCCTAGCTTATAAGGTAACTTTTCTTCTGTCTTTGAAAATTTAATACAACTTCATGGTAACCTTTTTTGAAAATTATTTATCTTTTTGATTAGTGTAGCTAAAAAAGGTGTATCAGTTGAGAATTACTTTGGATTGCATGTAATAGCTCCTAAAACAGTGTCTTAATCAAAGTAAGGTCTTACTTTTCTCACATGATGACAAGCTGGAGGAACCATTCCAAGGTTGTTAGGATGGCTTCAGGATATCTTCCCAGGCTCCTTCTTCCCATCTCTCCACTCCTCACTGAGTGCTGGTGACTGCATATCAGCCATCTTGCTACAACTCCAGCACTGTGTCCACGTATGGGGCAAGAAGAGGGAAAAACAGATGCCGGCTGAGCTAGTCTAATTACCGAGCTATCCTGGGAGACTTAACTAGAGCAGTATCGTGGGATTATTTCCAGCTGCAAGTGAAGCTGAACAATGGATATTTTTTAGCTGAGCACATTGCTATGCCTAAACAAAATCCTGTCACTCTGGGTACTGGAGAGACAAATAATAGTTTTTGCGAGAGAAACTAATGACTATTCAAGTCTTTCATCTGGCTTGTTTCTAGTTAATCAAATTTATACCATCTTTCTTATTTGTGTTATAGGTATTTATGCACATCTATGTTATTTTTTCCCTCATACTTTAGAAGCACCTATCTCTGTGAACAATCTGAAATGTGACTGTGACCCCAGAAAGTAAACAGAAAACTTCTGAGTCTCTGGAATTACTAATCTGAAAACTCTGATGTAAAATTCATATATCCTTAGGGCCATGGATTCCGGATTAATTGGCTTTAATTTATGTATTATACCAATGACTTTGTTATCTCACTTTTTATCTCAGTCCATTAGAATGGAGAAGGATGCTATAGAAAGTTTGTCAAAGAGGTGTTAGAGCTGACAGAGGCAAGCTTGGTGTAATAATTGATGTCTGTAGTTATGACTCAATTGTAAACATGTTTAAGGTAATCTGTTTAACAAGTAGTAAGTAATGTGTGCATTGCTTTTTAAAATAATGGTTTATCATAAAATATATAATCAAATTTAATGTTTAAAGGATAAACTTTTTCACCTGGAAAATCTATTTGTGCATAATACCTCATTCCCTAATGACTGGTTGAATGATGTATAATTTAGTATCCATTGTTATATAAGAATGTTTCTATTTAATGTGATTTACTTTTGTACTTTGTTTAAATGAGTATTTGTGTTTAACTCTTTACTTGTATTATTCTTATAAAAGCATCTGTTGTACTTTGTCAGTTATTATAATTATTTGCTTTTTTATATATTGCCACTGACAGATTTTTTTAATTCTTTGAGCCTTTGCTCTCTCATTTACTCAACAAATATTTGAGTACCTGTGTGACAGTCACTGTCCTTCACACTGGCAATACAGTATTATTATTATTATATTATTACTATTTTTGCATTTACACTTATGTTTATTTTTTTCATACAGTGTAATATTATTTTCAGATGTACAATTTAGTGATTCAGCACTTCCATATAATACCTGGTGCTCATCATGACAAGTGTACTCCTTGATCCCAGTCACCTTTTTAACCCATCCCCCACCCATCTCCCCTCTGTTAACCATCAGTTTGTTCTCTATATTTAAGAGTCTTTTTCTTGGTTTGCCTCTCTTTTTTAGGGAAAACAGTACTAAATTAAAAAAAAAAAACAGACATGCTTCTCACCCTCATGGAGTTTAGAGCCTTTAGGAGAAATGAACAATAATCAGTTGTTAATCACACAAATATAAGTAATTACAAACAAGGATTAGTATAGTAAAGGAAGATTAGAGGGGGTTAGTTAGGCTTCTTTGAAGGGTTGATGTTTGACCCAACAACTGAAGGATGGGTGGCAGTCAATTGGGTGGGACAGAGGGAAAACTTTGTGTGAGTGTCCAGAGATGGGAAAGAGCTTAAGGGTATGTTGGTGAGGAGGAAATGGCATGGAGTAAGTTTTGAGGTAGTCTTGCCATGGCCACTGTAAGTATTTTGGTTCTGATCCAAAAGAGCAATAGAAAACCACTGAGGATTTTAGGCAGAGAAACTATGCCATATTAGCATTTTAAAAAATCACAGATATTTTCCACCACACTGATATACACATAATAAGTAGATGCTTAAAAAAATATTTGTCTAATTGAACTTAATTTTTGGTGTAAATTTTTTCTCATATACCTTAGTAAATCTTTAGTACTATCACTGTTAGCCCAGTGCTGCTCATCTGTTTCATACCATGGCACTTACAGAAGATGACCATGTGTGTATTATCGTACTTGGGGTAGATGAGTCTTGCTGCTGGAGGGAACCCATCCCAGACCTGGCTGCCCGGGTCCTGCTGCACTGTCTCAGAGCTCAGGAAGTACTGTCTCTTACTACTGTGGCTCATTCTAGGCACGTAGGCTGGGCAAGTGTGTAATTAGAAGAAGCTTTAGTTTAATGAGTTAAGGTTTTAAGGGAGGTCTTAAAAAACTATATATATATTATATATAGTACCTATATTGTTTTTATTTATTGTTTTACTTTCCTCCCTCTTGTCCTGATGAACATCTTATATATACAGTTAAAATCATGTTCTATATCATATTTTATCTGGTATAGTTAGAAAATTTTGTTATTTTTTTTGAACGTTTATGCAGCTTTATTTACAACCAGACACCAGAAGCTAACAAAATGCTTTTCAATAAATGAATGGACAAATAAACTGGTACATCCATATTCTGACAACCCAGAATGCAGTTGTGATCCACTAGTCAGAACGGAAGCTTATGGATGGATCACTAATTTTAGGCAATATGCACCTTTTTTTTTTTAAATTTTTTTTTTATTATGTTATTAATCACCATACATTACATCATTAGTTTTTGATGTAGTGTTCCATGATTCATTGTTGGCGTATAACACCCAGTGCTCCATGCAGTACGTGCCCTCTTTAATACCCATCACCAGGCTAACCCATCCTCCCACCCCCCTCCCCTCTAAAACCCTCAGTTTGTTTCTCAGAGTCCATAGTGTCTCATGATTTGTCTCCCCCTCCGATTTCCCCCCCTTCATTCTTCCCTTCCTGCTATCTTCTTCTTTTTTTTCTTAACATATAATGTATTATAGATATGCTAAGATTTTTATATATATTGTGGTAATTACTTTTCAGAGCCTAGTATTCATGTTTACTTATTTTGAATGAAATTGTAGTGCCAAAACCAGACTAGTAATGCTGTAGTAAAAAAATGTTTCAGGGACGCCTGGGTGGCTCAGTCAGTTGAGTGTCTGCCTTCGGCTCAGGTCATGATCCGGGGGTTCTGGGATTGGGTACCACATCAGGCTCCTTGTTCAGCAGGGAGCCTTCTTCTCCCTCTGCCTGCTGCTTCCCCTACTTGTGCTCTCTCTCCCTCTCTCTCTTTCTGACAAATAAATAAAATCTTTAAAAAATTTTTTTCTTTTTCTCTTTGACTTCTATATTATTAGCAAACTGAAAACTTAAGATTTCAAACGTGTTTCTAAATTTAAGAAATTCTGTAAACAATGTTTGACATACTGTTGTGAAAACATGACTGTGGTATATTTAACTGTGGCATTTCATAAAGCCCTGTGTGTCTTTTATATTCCCTAGTGTGGCCAGACCCCATTGATGATAGCCGCTGAGCAAGGCAATCTGGAAATAGTGAAAGAGTTAATTAAGAATGGAGCTAATTGCAATCTGGAAGATTTGGTATATATTAAAATAATCTACTTATTTTTTGTCTTTTTCTTTTCCTTAACTTTGCTCTTTGTTTTTAAGAAGTGATTCAAAATTAGTAGATTACAGTTGTTCTTTCAGATCTATCTTAACTTTGACTAATAATATGCTAAGTCAGTTTTTTAAAGGCGTGATGCAGGAGAGAAATTTTTACTTTAAATGAAAGGTCTCAGCTCTTCGTGTTTTTTGTATATAGATGGCACTGGCTGAATAGAAGCACATATACTTGGATACTTGTAGCCTTTATTTAAAAATAAAGGACAGTAGTTTTTTCTTTATCACGTAGTTTCTAAATTTATCATATGGGATTGCCTTAGTTTAATAGCCTATGAATGTGCTCTTAAATCTGATGACAGGCTCTGTAATTTCAGTTTATTGTAATGGTTGCCAGCCACAGGATTAGCTTTAAGGTTTTGATAGTCATCTTTTCTTTTTTTAAAAAAACACAGTATATGATTAGGCGTCCAGTGAAAAGACTGACCAAGCGGTTGTGAAAGCATTTCGGCACCACTGCCTCATGCACAGATATGTTCTTAACAGAGCTCATGCTGCGGTGTTATTTTAGAGTAGTTCAGAGTGGGTCAAATCATGTCAGTTTGGTATGATCATTTGGTATGTAAACTCAAATTTATTTTTCCTCACTTTGGATTGTTATTTTTGGTTTTGAAATGATAACATTGGTGACTGTGTGTTCAAGGATAACTGGACAGCGCTTATATCAGCATCAAAAGAAGGGCACTTGCACATCGTGGAAGAACTGCTTAAATGTGGGGTCAACTTGGAGCACCGTGATATGGTATGTACGTTGGTTATGATATGTTGTTTAATTAGCTGGAATCTTACTAACAGTAATAGGTATGTCTGGAACATTGTATTTTTGTGTGGGGGGGTTATATTATAATCTTTTAGGATTTGGGGCTGGGCATTGAAACAGCTCTCAAGAATGTGTGAAAACCCAGGGGATATAATGACCGTTTTAGAATATTCTTAGTCATCATTTTCAGTTTATTTCAGAGTTTAAAATTCTGAAATATTAACTAAAAACAACTCATTAACTTTCAGTATATCAATGCTTTAAAACTTATATGAGAGAATGGTTTCCTTGAAGAGGAACTTTAAGAGGGACAGTATAGTTTTAAAAATATTTTCAGTTGTTTAAAGTTATAATTTTCAGAATAATATTTATAAATTTATTTAAAAAATGTTAATTGTGTTCAGGCATGAGCACATTACTAGTCTGTACACCTTACAAGTTTAACAAAATATGACCCTTAATTATCTTAGCTCTTATTTGCTCCTGGCATCTGCTTAAGACATAAAGATGAAGAAAGAGATCATTTCTAGCTTATTTATTCTGTGAAATATTCAGCCTTTTCCAAAGTTAATTTTAACAGTGGAAGAGAGGAAGGAATTGATCTGCCTTGACGTGTAAAACATGTACTACTTTGCTGATAATGAAGTGCAGGCGGTCTGAGTTTTTAAGAAACTGCAGCATTCTACCATCTTGTACTTACTATTATATTATAATTATAATTTACACAGTATGTTTACCTCTATAATCTTAAATGTATTCTCAAACTTAATGAAGTAGGTGGCATACTTATTTTTATAGGAAGATACAGAACTATTTATATTCTACTTATTTCTGAAAAGAAGTTAAAGTATATTGCTCTAAAAGTTTAGGGAGAGAAGATCATGATGTACTCAGTAACCTAGGCAGAGGATGGGTTGGTATGGCAGGCGAGAGTAAAATGTGGTGTTCTCATCTTACCGGGATATAAAGTAGAAAGGAAATGTGTGGAGGTTATTAAAGGCACCAAACCAGTTAATCAGATGAATTAATATTAGGTACCTATTCTATGCCTGGTCTCTTTATGTGCTTTAGCTTCTCTATGCTTAGTTGACTTCTCAGAACAATCCTCTGGGCTAGGGATGCATTTTGTTCTCAATGTATATAGTTCAGGAAATTGAAACTGGAGGAAGTGCCCTTTGCCCAAAGCAGTCAGGCTGAGTTTTGAACCCAGGTCTGCCTTACTACAAAGGTTTTCTCCTCTATTGCTCTTCCACATGTATTAATAGGGAGTTAGGAACTATAAAGGACACATTATGAATGTGGCAGACTTAGGAAGATTTGTACAAAATGATCTTAAGCTTTTTTAGTTTTCCATATGTTTCTTTATTTCCCCTAAGTAATTACCACAGCATCTTTTAACATATTTACAGGGTCTTAATGTTTGGCTTTAAAACACCACAATTGGGGAAACTGAGGGCTGTGTCTCCCTGAATAGGTAGTGTTGAGGGACCCTAACCTCAACGGACTGGGTGGTGGTAGTAACTGCTGAGCTGTGAGGGAAGGCAGAGTCCCTGGGACTTGTGTAGGGGAGGAGAGTGCCCACCAGGGTTTGTCTTTGGGTTCAGTAAGAGCTAGGATATAACATCTCAAAGTCTAGTGAGGATTTTTTTTTTTTTTTTTTAATGTAAGGATTTTTTTCTTAAGGGGACCTTTGTGGGCGCTAAACTAATGGTATTCACTTCTAACCTTTTCATTTTGCAAATTCGGGCGTAGTTTTCTCCTAAATTCTTGTGTAGGGTGACATTATACAAATTAAAAAGAGAGCATGATATTAAAACAATTCTGGGCAGGCATTTTAAAGATTAAAATGTTGATGTATTTAAGATTTGACTAAATGCTAAGCTCTATAATTTGACCTAAATAAATTGTCAGCCTTTTCTTGTCTTTCATGACCTTGACCTTTTGTAAAAGGCGAAAGATTTATGCGATCTGAAGAGAAACCAGAGTATGACCTTGACCTTTTGAAGATTGCTCCTCTGGCATTTTTGTTTTTTATTTTTTTATTTTAGTTTTTTAAAGATTTTATTTATTAGAGAGAGAGAGAATGAGTGCATGAGAGCAGGGGGAGGGGCAGAAGGAGAAGGAGAAGCAGACTCCCCACTAAGCAGGGAGCTTGACTCAGGGTTTGATCCCAGGACCCTGAGATCATGACCTGAGCCTGTGGCAGAGGCTTAACCCACCCAGGCGCCCCTCCTCTGGCATTTTTAGGATGTCTCTCAATTTAGATTGATGTTTCTCATGATTAGATTGAGATTGTGCTTTGTTGGGAAGGATAGCACAGAGATGGTAGTCTCTTCTCAGCACACCACATCTGGGTACATGATAGCAAACCCGTCCCTGGTGATGTTAACTTTGATCTCTTGGTATTGTCTGCCAGATTTATTCACTGTAAGATTACTGTTTCCCCCTTTGTAATTACTAAGTATTTTGGAGAAGATACTTTGAAACTATACAAATGTCCCGCTTTTGATTAAACTTTCACTCATTTATTTTAACATCTACCAATGTATCTTGCATGCAGCAGTTACTACTGTGGTGTTATAATGGTGATTTTTCTACTTCCGTCATTCCCTATACATTGATTAATTTGAATTCTTCTGTAAGGAAGAGTTCTTTGTCTTTCCATGTCTCTCTCTATGTATTTGTATGTAGTTAGATATCTATAAATATATATAGTCTGATGAATATTTATTTTATTCTTTGGGTTATAATTTAGTTCTGTACTTACTTTCCTGCTCAGGTTGTTCCAACTTTGGCCATTGGGAGCTTCTGTGCCCTTTTGAGATGCCCTATCTTTTTTTTAAAAGCACTTCCTTACTTTCTGGCATCATATACTTCAGGCCCATGTTTATCTTGTATTTTTCCTGGCTTATTTTCCTGATTAGCAGCCCTGGATTCAATCAGTTTTCCAAGGAACCATGGTTTCTTTTATCGGAAAATGGTATCGAGAAACCAATATCTTGGTTTAGGTGTTAGGTGAGCTTATTGTTACTGGGGTATCACTACTTGTAGTCCTTCTCAATGGATAGACATAGAAAATACGTGTCTGTATACTAACTCTTGCATATACATGCATCTATTTCTATATTTGTGTGTGTTTGTATTTTTTTTTTAAAGAGACTGCCAACCCAATTTGTTAATAACCTTTTCCCTTTCCCTAAGTTGTAACTCTTCTCTGATGGTGACAAATCTGGCTCTGTTATCTACACAATATATTTACTTGTTTGTTCAACCCTAGTATACAAATAAAGCAGTTCCAGGGGCACCTGGGTGGCTCAGTTGGTTAAGCGACTGCCTTCGGCTCAGGTCATGATCCTGGAGTCCCTGGATCGAGTCCCGCATCGGGCTCCCTGCTCGGCGGGGAGTCTGCTTCTCCCTCTGACCCTCCCCCCTCTCATGTGCTCTCTCTCTCCTCTCATCCTCTCTCTCAAATAAATAAATAAAAAAATCTTTAAAAAAAAAACAAATAAAGCAGTTCCAGAATTTCTAATCAATACTCCAAGAGAAACAGATTTGCCTACTAAGTACAGTGTTTGTGTACAGTTCTTTCTCTCTTTAACATTACAGTATTCAGTCAAAATATTGCTTTCCAAAGTTACCTAGGGTTAGCCTCTAAGTAGTTATGTGATTTTGTGATTCATTTGTAATATAGTTAGATTCATTTGGCCCAGTCTGTATTGAATTTTTTCTTTCCATATTCTGGTTGATTTTTAAAACATTTGCATACAGTAAAATTCACTCTTATGGTGTATAGTTCCCGGGGTTTTGACAAGTGCATAATGTCTTATGTCTACCACCATGTCCTATACAGAGCAGTTCCATCACCTCAACAGTACACCCACCTGCTCCTTTATAATTATCTCCTCCACCCACTCCTCAGCCGCTGGCCACCACTGATCTGTTTTCCCTTTCTACAACTGTGCCTTTTTCAGATCAGGGCAAGTATTTTTTAATCTCCTTTTTAGTGATGATGAAAGAGACTCAGAAGGATTAAGTGATTTATATTCTCAGAACCAAATGTGGATTTAAATGCTGGTTTAAAAAAACCAAAACATTTATTTCTTCGTATAATTTGATTACATTGGTCTTTTTTACTGAATTGCATTATAGCTGAAGAGAAAATTGCTTAAAATAAAAAAGAAAATTGCTCCTATAGTTTAGAAAATAGAATGTCATAATGTTGTTCATTCATACTTGGTGAATTCACACTGGAAATTGTGATCTGCAGATCTCTGCCTCAGTATCCTCTCATTTTTAAGAAGAGGTGCTGTAATGATCTGGGATTTACAGGATGTGTTTAATGCCGGAGTTGAGTATGATTGCTAGAATGCCTCTCTAGAAAAAGTCTAGACTCATACAAGAATATCTAGGGACATAGAAAGTATTTTGAAGAAAAAATTTTTAAACAGCCAAAATAAATCTTGGAAATTTGAAAAATCTAACATGAATGTTCTCTATTTTAGTTTCCATGATACAGTCAAAATTTGGAGTAATTTTGGAATTAAGAGATTTGACTTATTTCAGATACTATTGTGTATTTGTCTGGGGAGCTTGGGAATTTAAAACTACATAGTAGTGCCTTCATACACAATGGTTTTATGTAGAAATAGTCAAAGAAGGAACTTCATTAATGGCATTTTGTGCTTGGAGATGACCAAAAGTTTTCTGTCCCCCCAACCCTTTTTTCCTTAGGGAGGATGGACAGCTCTTATGTGGGCATGTTATAAAGGCCGTACTGAAGTGGTAGAGTTACTTCTTTCTCATGGTGCCAATCCAAGTGTCACTGGTTTGGTAAGCATTCACAAAAATTTCACTGTAATATGAGTGGTAAGTTCTTTAGGTAATACTTAAGGCTGATTATATTTTAGACTTCAGATTGAATAGAAATTATCTAGATGTTAATAAAAATAATAATGCAAGATGTGATGTCAAATCACAACGAGAATTTTTTTCTCAGGCTAAGCTTATTTCTCAGTTTTTATCAACAAAAAGGCAACTCTTAGAGCTTAAATGTTAATTATAACATATAACATTTCAAAAGGAGATTTTGAAATCCCTAAGTCATCTTGCCTGTATTCTGTGGGTATGCATTCTTAATCTAAACTTATTTAAAGAAAAAGGGTGTTTACCAAATATCCATACCATTTTTCTATACATTTCTTTACATGGTAATACATGCGTTACTACTCTGTTTGGGACTTGATCTCAGACTGCTGATTGAGAGATTATCCTTCTGATGGGGGACATCCTTTTATACTGTATACATATGTCAGATAATCATGTTGTACACTTTAAATATCTTGTGATTTTGTCAGTTATACCTCAGTAAAGCTTCTTAAAAAAGGAGAAACTTATTCAAGTTAATAGAAGGATTATGTAAGTTAATGGAAGGATTATATTACACATTTCTCTTATTAGTCTTTCCTGTTGGCTAGATAATCATATTAAATGTATTAATCTGTAAAAATAAATGTGTTCGTAATATATATGTCTTTAAGGTTGAGTGCATTTTATTAGCTGATTATGTCTTATGAGTATTATATGTTTTTTCAAGTGGAGAATGATCCGTAACTTGGTGTTTTAAAATATTACTTTGTATTACTCCCTTTACTATTTACTTTTCTTAGCAAATGTGTGTTGTAAGTATCTACCTAAAACATTTTTCTTTCCCTCGCTCCCTTGCGTTCTCCCTCCTCCCCTCCTTCTCTACCTACTTCCGCACCTCCCTGCCTCCCAGCAGTACAGTGTTTACCCAGTCATCTGGGCAGCGGGGAGAGGCCATGCAGGTATAGTGCATCTTCTACTGCGAAACGGTGCGAAAGTCAACTGCTCCGATAAGGTAGGTCAGCAGGAGCTTTCCAGGTTCCGGTCTATGTTATGTCTACTCAGTATGTCTAAATGCAAGTTTTCTCATATGACCTCCTGAGACTGTGCTGGTGAATCTTCTGTTTATATATATGAATGTATTTTATATAGATAGATATGTCATAGGTGGATCCCTTACACATAGTAACTCTCCCTCCATTGTTTTTTTTACATCACATTCATCATTCTCTGGAAAATAGATAGGGATGATTCCCTATATTCATTATTTGAAGTTTTCTGTTATAACTCTTATTTCTACCTTCAGTCCTAGCTGCTTTCTATGTATGGTTGTCAGAATGATCTTTCTAAAATTCAGGTTTAGTTTTTTTTCTCTCTCTCTCATACTTAAAATGCTGAAGACATCAATCCCTGGTATGATGTGTGAAGACAGGCCTTGGCTCCCTTTCTGCCCTTTCTCCTGCCATCTGAACCCTAAAACTGCCTCGCCTGCTAGACTGCCAAAGGATGTGGGTGCCTGGATTCATCTGTTTTTAGCCCTTCCATGCCTTTGCGTGTGCTCTTTCAGTGTGGAGAGAGAGTAAAGCTCTGCTTTACTTTCTGTTCATCCTTCACACTCAGCTCATTTGCCATCCACTTTAGAAAATTTCCCAGAATTTTGTTCTATTCATTTTTTAAATCCTTAATATTCATCCCAAACATTTAATAAGTATTTATTTAATTAGAACTTGACACATTGTGGGTAACTGTAATCTTTTCAAATTAATAACAATTCAGTGAAATATAGGAAAATAGCTAATAATTAGACATTTTTGATAATTGGAATATATTCTGAGTATAAATTTAAGTAAAATAATATTGCTTAACCTGATGGGAATGTTGGGAATCATCTTATGTTAATCTAGTTGGTGCTTGTATGGGTGTATACATATGTAAAAAAATCAAGTAATACATTTAAGATAGGTGTATTTTAGCATGGAGCACTGGGTGTTATGCACAAACAATGAATCATGGAACACTACATCTAAAACTAATGATGTAATGTATGGGAATTAACATAAGAATAAAAAAAAAGATAGGTGTATTTTATTTTATTTATTTATTTTTTAGATTTTATTTGAGAGTGAGAGAGAGAAGTGGGGGAGGGGCAGAGGAAGAGGGAGAAGCAGACTCCCTGCTGAGCGTGAAGCCTGACCCACGGGGCTCAATCCCAGGACCCTGAGATCATGACCTGAGCCAAAGTCAGATGGTTAACCAAATGAGACAGCCAGGTGCCCCTAGATTGATGTATTTTATACACTTTATGTAGTTATGCTCACTTTTTAAAAGTATCACCTAAAATAATAGGTTGACAAGGACTGTAAAGAGACTCTTGCAAATACTTGTAATATGGTACTTAAAAGTATTGTATTGGGACTGTTCATTAATTCAGAATGGTTGTCTTCTATTTTTTTTTTTTTTTTCAAATTCTTGTTTAAATTCTAGTTAGTTAACATACAATGCAATGTTGGTTTCAGGAGTAGAATTCAGTGAGTCATCACTTAACATACAACCCTCATGCTCATCAAGATGGGCTGTCTTTTAATTCAGATTAGTGAGGTTTTATTTTATGTCCAAAGTGGATATGATTCTCTCTATTGATGTTTTTGATTTGACACTTTAGTATGATTGTGAAATCTTTAATTTCTCCTTCTGGCCTATTGAAAAATGGTTTATATGACCTGGCATTCACGGCCCCTCCAGAATCAGGTAGTATGCTACCTAGTCTGTCACTCTGACATTTTGAGAAAATGTTTAGTACCTACTGTGTGCAGTACCCTGTATGTGTACTAAACACAGAAGATACAAAAACAAAGTTCCTCAGTCATACTTGCCACATTTAAAGTGCTCAGTGGCCGTATGAGACTCGTGGCTACTGTATTGGCCAGTGCAGAATTATGGAGCATTTCCATCAGCATAGAAAGTTTTGTTGGACAGAGCTATTATAGAAAGTAGGCATTTATTGCATGTTTATTTCAGTCTGTAGTCTCATGTAGTTAAAGATCACCGTGGGTATGTCTCTTGATTGCCAGACTTCCCAAAGACACAGCATTGCTTTTATGCATAATGTACATTCTCTGATGTCTTTTGAATCACATTCCAGCTGAAGGTGCTTTTAAGTGCAGTTTCTAAGGAAGTTTATTTTATCAAGTTTAGAGGCTGATTTGGGGGTGGTGGTTAAGAGCACAGACTGAAGCAGGCCTTTTGGGGTCATGGGTCTTACTCTACCTCTTAGTAGCTTTGTGACTTTAAACCTGTAATTAATTTCTCAGGGCCTCATTTGCTCTCTGTGAAAATGTGATATTTCAAATTCTCCTTATTCTTGTGATAAAGATGAGTTATGTGATAAACATGAGTTAACACATGTAAAGTACTTAGAATTATATTTGTCATTTCATTGTTACTCTTTTTGCCTGTAGTCAGACTGTTGGACTTTAAATTGTATTTCACAAGATACAGGAAGCAATGAAAGCTTGTTGAAAATTAGAGGCTGTATGACTTTATGATGGAAAAAATTGTCACTAATTATAAAAGTTGTTTCATACAGCGGTTAGTCATCTCTTCAGGAGAAAGACACTGGGGAAAATACGGCTTATCTAGAATTAAAATTATAATTTGTATAAACAGTAACTTAAGAATACTTAATATGAGTTTTATTAAAATTTGTGTTGAGAAAGTTTCTTTTACTACAGCTCTGATAATAATTTTACATTTGTTATTATTTTTTTATAGTATGGAACTACCCCTCTTGTTTGGGCTGCACGGAAGGGTCATTTGGAGTGTGTTAAACATTTATTGGCCATGGGAGCTGATGTTGATCAAGAAGGAGCTGTAAGTATCTTTTCTGTTTAATAAACCTTGGTAATAGAGATAATGTTTTTAGTTTTAAGGGAGAGAATATACTTTCTTAGTATATGTCTAGAAAAATTTCCCAATAGTTCTTAAATGATACTTAGAAAAACAAGCATTTTCTTTCTATTATCCTGACAAATACATTATGTTCTAGATAGTATGTGTTATAAACATGCTTTTAAGGATCTATTATTAATGCATGTAAATTTTGGGAGGCTAAACTATAAAGAACATCTTACAGTAATCTTACTATTGATTGAATCAGTATTAAAATACTCTTTTTATTTTATTTTTTTTAAAGATTTTTATTTATTTTTTGACAGAGAGAGACAGCGAGAGAGGGAACACAAGCAGGGGGAATGGGAGAGAGGGAGAAGCAGGCCTCCCACTGAGCAGGGAGCCTGACGCGGGGCTCGATCCCAGAACCCTGGGATCATGACCTGAGCCGAAGGCAGACACTTAACGACTGAGCCACCCAGGCACCCCTTGAAATACTCTTTAAATCAAATAGTTTGAAATACTGTTAATTGTGGGAAAAAGTTACGCCCTGTTAAAATACCTTTTCCTTAAGATTTTAAAATAATATTATAATTTTTTGTATGTTTTTAGCTGTGACTTATTTTCCTCCTCTAATAGATTTAAAAATGTCAGAAATTAGCGGTCAAAATGTAGAAAGCTTAAAAATTGGTTCAATACATCCTACCAAGTAGCAGTTATTTTAATAACTTATTGAGCACCTGCTGTGCACGCAACCCTGTGCCAAATGTGCTTGGGGTTCTGGAGAAGCCTAGCAGATGGCTTTTCCCTTGAACTTGTGAGATTATAGTTAAAGGAAATGATATTTATGTACAAGAAATGATTAATACAGAGTATTCTTTATAAAATTAAGTATTATGTGAAATGGATCATAAAGCACTGAGAAGGGATACTACCAAATCTCTGGCTGCATTGTAACAAAATGAACTCTAAATCACACTTGGCTTAGTATCAACCAATTCCTCCTATTTTCCATATTGGCAGAAGCTACTAATTGCTGACCTTTATGGAGTATATAATATTTTTAGTGCCATGTGGAGAAAGAGCATGATTCTTAGCCATGAAATTCATATCTTTCACTTTCCTTTTTTCTGGACAGTTTATCAAGTGGATAAGTGGCTTATTTCTATGATTTTTGACTCTTACAGGATTTTAAAAGGCTATATTATTTAATATGTGAGAGAATTATGACTCAGTTTGGGGGGCTGATCTAATGACTGAAATATTTCAATAAGGAGATTATATGACATCTCAATATAGATCAGTTTCTCAGGAAGCAACTTTAATACTTCTTTTGGTAATGAGTCAGGTTCTTCTATTAGGTGATTTATTGTTATAAATTAGATATGCAGCTTTTATTTTTTAAAAGATTTATTTTTATTTGTTTTAGAGAGAGCATGCAAGCAGGGGGAGGGACAGAGGGGGAGAGAGAGAGAGAGAGAATCCTCAAGCATACTCCCCACTGAGTGCAGAGCCTCATGTGGGGCTAAATCCTGGGACCCCAAGATCATGACCTGAGCTGAGATCAAGAGTTGGCCACTTAACCAACTGAGCCACCCAGGCTCCCAGATGTGCAACTTTTAAAAGAACCACTAAAAATGAGATCATTTTTGAAAATGTGGTTTCTAGATCACTGTGAAAGACAGAAGAATATATTATACTTTATTGAAATATCCTGTAGCTGTTAATTCATTGTTTTACTTCAGTTTTCCTACAGATTTTTATTATAAACAATTCTTTGTTTGAAGCCTGATTGACCTTATTTTGGATTATTTAATTTAGAATGTGTTTCATTTTGAATCATCCCATCTCATCTCATTATATTAGTGAGAGGGTCTGTTCATTGTCAGCAAATCCAATTTCAGATTATCATTTGAAGAGTTGAATGTTTTAACTGTCCTGTTGACTCAAGAAAATTAATGTATCTTCAAAAACAGAAAACAGGCTTCCTAGCCAGTTTTGGTATGTGACTATTTATATTGGCATTTCATTATCAGAAATCACTCTTAATAATAAGCCACCTTCTTGAAAACATAGTTTTATGACTGTGGCATAAATCATATGTTTTCTAGATTATACTGATTTCTTGGGCTTGTTTTTGTTTTTTAGAATTCAATGACTGCACTGATTGTGGCAGTAAAAGGAGGCTACACACAGTCAGTAAAAGAAATTTTGAAGAGGAATCCAAATGTAAATTTAACAGATAAGGATGGAAATACAGCTTTGATGATTGCATCAAAGGAGGGACATACAGAGATTGTACAAGATCTCCTCGATGCCGGAACATATGTGAACATACCTGATAGGGTAGGTTACCTATTTGAGATTTGTCTTCTTGTAGTAACATAATGGAAGATTATCTTAACTTCTCACACCTTTCAGGATTCTTCATGTATGCCATACATTTGTCTAATAAAAGATAAATTTTATTTCTACCTTTAAAACTAAGAAGTTAAAATGTATTCAATCTTTGTGAAGGGTGTTCTTTTTAATCTTTGTCAAATAATATTGTTACTGAAAATGTCACATGTACTATTAGTCTGTAATTGTCCTTGATGTCTATGATTGTAGTGTTGTTCATGGCTGGTGTTATTCACTTTCCCAGGCCTTCAGCTATACTTAGAATTTTCAAAATTGTACCTCTTGCTCTAATCTTTTCTCAGAACTCTACACTTCTGTTTCCAACGCTACTTGAACTGTCTGCTTGAATGTCTGATGGGCTTTAAAAGTTACCCGCAAAGCAGATGTCTTGTTTGGTTCATCCCAACCCTGCTTTTCCTTCAGTCTTCTCCATCTGAGTGAATGGCATCACCATTCACCCTGTTGTTAAAGCCCGAAGTCCTATGCATTAGCCTTGATTTCTCTTCTCCACCTACCACATCTAATTCTTCAGCAGGTCCGTTTGGCTCTACCTCCAGAACACATCCTGTGTCTGTCTACTTCCCTTCCTCCCTGTTTTAATAGGTTGCTGCCATATTAACTTTTTTTCCTTTCTAGAGCATACTGCTCTTGTTGCTGCTTTGGGACCTCTGCACCAGCTCTGCTCTGTTGGGAATGCTGATCTTCATGATCACTATATGGCTGTCTCCTTCTTGTCATTCTGACCTCAGCTTAAATATGAGCTCCTCAGAAAGATCTTCAGTGACCCAATACAAAGTCACAGTCCAGTCACTTTCTATGACATCACTGTATTTTAATTTATTTACATGCCATTTGTCTAATTTTTTGTTTGTGTTTATTGTATGTTGTCTGTCTCCTCTAGACTGTCAGTTCTTCTAGAGCTGAGAACTTGTCTGTCTTGTTTCCCAATACCTAGAATGGTACATGGCACATAGTAAGCAATGAGATATTTATAACCTTTTTTTTTTTTTGCACAAAATTAATGTTTATTCCACCTTTGTGTCATATTCCTGGATCCTTCACCAATGTTACATGAGGAAAAAAACAAAAGCAAAACAAATGAAAAACTGAAATCAGAATCACTAATGTTATCAAGTAGGGAAACAAATAAATTAAAATCTAGCAGCCATCAGCAAGAGTACAGCAAAGACAATGCTGTAAAAGGAAACAAAGAAAATTGCTAGAAAACTGTATGCTTCATACTCTTTCAAACCAGCAAAATATGCTCCTGCATACAATGGAACATAAACAGAATTTTTTTCCTGTAAGGTATAGAAATGCAAGTTCTTTTTTGAATATTGTGGATGGGTAAGATGTGTTTGTAATGGTAATTTTACTAAGCTATTACAGAGTGGGCCAGGAACACATTTATGGATTCTGGGGATGATGTGTACTGTAATTCTTTGATTGGGATAGTGGACACTCTAGCCAAAATTAAAAAAAAAAAACAAACCATGAACACAGAAGTACAAGACAAAGGCGAATGAGACTTCTCTTATATCTTAGCAACATTTAGATGGAAATCAAATTTAAATGCAGTCCACTCTGCTTTTGAAGAGGCTTTGGTTCAGCTCCCAAATCTCGATTGCTTGACGCAGTCTCCTATGAGAATACTCAGAAGGTGTCTTCTTAAACAACAAACCTATTTTTAGTGGTGGAGCCACTCTTAGTAGCTGTGTCTGCATGGGACTGATAACCAATCACTATCTTTGGAGGAAGTCCTAACCTTTCCTTGTATACCCTCCCTATATGTGTAACAGCCTCTCTGTTTTCACATTCAGTAGTCCATATTGCTATCTTATCACCTTTAGTTCTAACATTAACAACAGCTCCACATACATCATCACTGTAGTCATCAAAAGATTCTCCAATAAGGCACAGCAGTGTCTCTAGCCAAAAGCGATCCAGGTCACTTCGTCTCTGCTGCTTGTTCAATGTAATTAGCCATCGTCCTCCTCGTTTGTTTTTCTCATCTTCCCACATAGGCTCAATACCATCCTTAAAAAGTGAGTAGTCACAGCCTGGCATTAAATTACTAGACAACTGGATGTGGTTGTACAGAGCCCAAAAGTCTTCAACAGTATCAAACTTAGAGATCAGCCAAAGGTTTGCTTGCCAAGTTTTGCTTTTATCATTTTTAAAAAACCAGAGTGCCCATCTGTTCTGTAAAGGATGTTTAATATAGTGTTCTGGGTTAGCAACCTCCTGATTAGATTCTGTTTTCTCTTCTTCTGTAGGTGGGGGATTAGGAGTAGGGGTGGTTTCCGGTTCCACAGTCGCCATCTTAGATCGATCTGATGAGATATTTATAACCTTTTATTAACTTACTACTCTGGCATCATATTAATGCTAACATTCTCAACTAAAATTGGTTTGCTTTGCATTTATTTCTGCTTTTAATGTAGTAGTTAAAGATACTACACAGGGTGCTAAATTCAGTAATCCTCAAGGACTTGCATCTTGATTTATAACCCATTGAGGCCCACTAAGGATTGAGATGAGCCACAGCTCATGGACTTGCCCAACTCAAAGTCCTACAACTGATTTATAATTTAGAGTAAAAAAAAATTAGGCAGGCATTGCCAGAATAGCCATTTTACATTTGAAGTAGTAGGAAGATATAATTAATAATGATTGTTGTTTGGTAAATATAATTTTAGGGCAAAGAGATGTCTTTATGAGGTAATGAACTTCATCTAATCCTTGTCATGGGGAATGAGTCAGTCTTTTGCACTGTTAACTTGTAATGCCAGATTGCCTAGACTATGGATACTGGTCTGGGAACTACCCTATCCCTTAATGAAATGTGGTTATAAACTCACTGACAACCCTAGCCCTACAACTCCCTTTTTTACAATCCATGGCTTTCGTCATATAGCATTATTCCAACGGTTTTTTATTATGTTATTTCCGAATGTTCATTTGATTCATTGACAGCTCTGGTGTCATTTAATTTAATTTACATTTATAGTGGGAAGTCAGTCACCTTCAAAGAGTATGGCTTATTGTTCTTGGTAACTCGTCTTTCTAAACTTTTGTCGTGGAATTTAAGAGTCCTCATTTTGAGGTATAACCTGTCTCTTACTCTAGGGCTGTTAATGTCCGGTATTAATGTTAGTTAACTAAAATTTTTCTCTTATTTTGAGATACTCTTTTTCCCAAGAAGTTTGCAGAGAAATATCTATTAATATACGATTAACTTCAAAACAGTGTTTATTTGTTCTTTTATCAGTTTACCTTTTTTTTTGGTCTTTTTAGAGTGGAGATACTGTGTTGATTGGCGCTGTCAGAGGTGGTCATGTGGAAATCGTTCGAGCACTTCTCCAGAAATATGCTGATATAGACATTAGAGGACAGGTGTGTGTGATTCCCGAGCTGCTGTCACCTTTGTGCACCATCATTTGTGCATGTTGACTGATGACAATGTCATTCTGAGTTTTCTCTGGAGATGAGCTAGTAGATCCTAATATAGTTAATGGATGCCTGTATTAAGTTTGACTGCCATTATTACAGAATTTCTGTATTAATGTCATGTTAGATGACATTAGAGCATGTTCGAAGCTCATAGTTTTCAAATACATCTCTCTTACTAGTGTATAAATATATTCAATCCTGAAATGAGTAATTTATGATACTGAGACAGTTGCTGATATTTTGAATGTACCCAGTTTATTTTCTTTAGTATTTTCCCTCTGTTTCGTCTTCCTCGTCCATATGTTGTTCTTCCATTCTTGCTGTTTCATCTTTCTTCTCCTTCTTCCCCATTCTGCTTGCCTTTCCTAGGACCCCTTGATAGTGCCTATGGACTTTGCGTAAGGCAGTCCTAGCTCACAGAGCTACAAAGGTTACTAAGATTAGGTAAACCTCCCCTAAACTTGTGAATTTATCCAGTATTTCAAGAGCTTTAGGTTAAAAAAAATCTACTTAATATTCCATTTTGTTGTTGGACAGCCTACATTTCTACTTAGTTTTCCCTTGAGTTTAGCTTGTATCCAAATCTATTTTTGAATCAAACTAATAAATATTATGCCAAATGCTATGAGGGACTTAACATGAAACCCTTGCCTTGTAAGAAATGTGTATTTTAGTTAGGGAGGTTTTACTTTGTTTTATGTTTATTTTTGTGTTTTTACGTAAACATACAAAGTGATGCCTTTTGGTATAAGACGGTGTAGGATTGATTGCCTAGTGAAACTTACCACTGTAAGAGTCTTGAGGTGGGAAAAGAAGGCATTAAGGAAGGCTTTTGAGAGAAGGTAGAATTTGAGCAAAGTTTGAAAGATGGGTTGGATTTAGATAGGTAGAGAAAAGGAAGGCTGGTATTTCAGGCAAGGATAGTGGAATAATAAAATGAGGAAATTCAAGAAAACGGGGAAGTGAAAGACTGTACTCCTTAGCTGGCAAAAAGGTCAGGCTGGCTGCAGGCCGGTGGGGAGTGTGGCATGGGAGACAGAGGCGGAAATAGAAAGGGGCAGGGCTGGAGAGGTCTGAGGGCCAGGCCAGAAATGTTGGGAAGCTACTGCACCTTGTGGAGGTGGGGAACTCCACCAGGAAAGTTTGGTGTGGGAGACTTAGTGTGGCAGCCCTGGAAAGTCAGTGACTGTCTTGGGCATTAAAATCATAGTTTCACTAAAAGATGGTTACTGGATCCCCTATTTAGAGTTTACCTAATTCCTTTTTGTCTGTCAAGCCTGTTTTCCTACGTTTTAGTCACTTTATTTTGTTCTCTAGCTCTCCTTTCAGGGTCTGTTGGATCTATTTTTGGTTTTTGAACTAGATGGGATTTAAAGGATCAGATCAGGATTGGTGTAATGGGTGCAGGGTGGGTGAGGATTAAGAAAGCAAAACATGGTAAAAAAAAATTCACCTTCTGTTTGTGTAGTACATTCTCATGCATTATCTTTTGAAAAGACTGGGCACATGAAAAGCCAAGGGTCAGAATATTTGCAGAATATTTGACTTGTTCAAGGATGAGCTCAGGTATTAACGACTTCCAGTGCACAGCCCAGAAATCTGACCACATTAACAAAAGCATACTTCACCTTATCAAGTATGTGGGGTTGCTGCTTTTTATATCAAGTAATATTGTTTTCTTAGACTTCTTTCATAAAGAATTTCTTAACAGTAAATCCAAAATGGAATAAGGGTTAATATTATTTCCTGTTTGTTGGTATTCTGGCAGAAATGTTAAAAATGATGTTTTATGTTTACAAATAGCAGTTTCCAGTATTGTATCTTAAGTGATGGTTGATTTTTTTCTATTATATAGGACAACAAAACTGCTTTGTATTGGGCTGTAGAGAAAGGAAATGCAACAATGGTGAGAGATATCTTACAGTGCAATCCTGACACTGAGATATGCACAAAGGTATCAATGACATTTCTGTTCTCCTAGCAATACCCAGTGCTGAATATTAGTATTGCTTATTTTTTTCAATCGTCTTTTGTTTGATATTAGAATTATACTGATTTTACTGGTAATAATCTATATTAAATTGGGGAGTAATTCTGTATCCTTTCAGAAGTTCATTCACAGGAAAATATAGTGTGTAATGTGTTACTTTAATTAAATACTTTCAGAAAATACAATATCAGCTCTTCATAAATTGTGGACAGATCATTTTTTCAGAACTTTTATGCTTTTATTTGGAATGCAGAACACATTTCCTTTTAAAAGACCAATGTGAGTGGTTCTTGGTTCCCCAAAATGGTCACTTTAATCTGTTTTGCTCAAATCATGTGAAAAATATAAAACCTATATAAGACTTTAGTGATTGTATTTGACCTTATGTGTAATAGTTTTCCATGGGGAAAATGTATCTGGAATGGATGTATTTGGATTGAATTGGTAGGAATTCTAAATGAATAAACAAACTTGTGGAGTCACCCATAAGATACTCCTATTTTATCTGCTAGAGATTGGGACCAGCATCTTCCTATACTATGGTAGCTTTAGAGCCCTAGGGCAGAAAGTTTCCTGGGATACCTTTTGGTGTGTGGGTGGCTCCTTGATAATAATTTTTTTTTTTAAACCTATATGTCAGCCATTGTGACCATCTGTGGGTTCTGACCAGGTTTCTGTCTCCTAATTCAGTGCTGAACTATGGTCTCTTCCTATGTCCCTTAATTTGATTTTGAAAAGCAATCATTAACTTTTTTGAGGTTTTCCAGAGGCACACTTCTTGTATCAAATTGTTTTTCCTGTTACACACAGGTCCTTAGGTGCACAGAGAACTGAAGTGATGCTGGTAAAGATCTCTGAAAAATCTAGGCACTGGCTTGCCTGGACATTGACTGGCCGAGCTGTGGGTTGGTTGGTGGGGAGTGGTGTGAATGGGAAGTAGTCTCTGGAGGGGCTGCCCATGTGCCAGTGGTAGAAACTGGGAAATGGCCAAATCAATGAGGGGCAGGGGACTGTTGCCAGAAATGACTGATAAGGAGCTGGGCATATCCATTCTTGGCTGAGTGATATAAAATTATTTTGATACAAATGATTGGCTTGGAAAGGAAAAGCGTTTTTCTTGTTAGTTTTTACAGCTATGTTTTTTTGAGAACATTTTCAATATAGACTTGTGCCAGAGTCAGATATTTGAATTCTTATATGTGCATTGATGTGACTTTAAACATTTATGAGTAAAGCTACTAATCTGGCAAACCTTCTTATCTGTGCCTGCAGGACGGTGAAACACCACTTATAAAGGCTACCAAGATGAGGAATATTGAAGTAGTAGAGCTGCTGCTAGATAAAGGAGCTAAAGTATCTGCTGTAGATAAGGTAAAACATCTGTGCAGAGAGAACATTTTTTGGAAGGCTGTTGGTAGACTGACCTGTATATTTGCTGGACTTAAGGGAGTCTGGTTTTATTTTGTGGAGGGAGAGATTACTTGCCGGGGCGATCTATGTGGGATTTTGGTCCTGTGATCTCTTCTTGGCTGTTCTGATAGCATGCTGAGGAATGGGCAGGCTTAGGTTGCTATTAAAGAGGCTGCGTCAGATTTTCCTTCTGTTGCTCATACCAGTTATGGCAAGCTGCCATTGACCACTGTACAAAGAGGACGTCATCAGATGTAGAGCTTGTTGCAGACAAACAGGAGGAAAGAATCCAAGGGTCTGGAAAAGATAGAGCAGACTAGTGTTAATATCCACTAACAGGAGGTAAAATGTTCTGCCATGTCCTCGCCATAATCCTCTTAGAGAAATGTTCGTATTTTCCATGGCAAATTTAACTCTCAATTGCTTACTACTTCATATAGAATTGATTCCTGGTTTGATTTTGTTTTCATTTTAAACAGGATTCTTTCTCTACTTCTTGATTTCCTCCCATAAAAGGAGTGAATTGATTTATATATAAAGTTAGAAATATAAATTTTTCCATCTAAATGTATGATATGATTTGGGCTCTCCTAATCCATAATAAATTGAAGTTTATCTTTCTATTATTTACGAGGCAATTAAACAAAAAACACAGAATCAATATGTATTTGCATTTATCAAGAAACAACATTGTTTAAGAAAAAAAAAAAACAAAAAAATCTTCCCATCTATTATTACCATGTTTGTATAATTTCATATAAAAGAAAGTAAACTTTGATATTGAAACTAGGAATGACATAAAATCAAGAGATTTTGCAGTTGAATATATTTAGCTTTATAGAAAACTTCCTGCGTTGCCTCTTCTCATTCTGCCGTTGACTTGTTTCTGGCCCTGGCCTCCTAATTTGCAATAAGAAACCACTGGACTAAGTGCCCTTTAAGATTCCACATGGCCTCGTTAATTCGGTAACATGTCATTTGTAAATATTTGTTTCATAACCACTAATAAGTTTCCTGGAGTTCTCTGTCTCCGTATCCTTTTGTGTGTTGCCTTGCCTCGAGTCAGCACATACTTGCTGAAAAGCACACATGATATCCTTGGAGCATTTGTTTTCATTCAACACATACTTAGGATGGATAAGGTGCTGTCATGCTAGAATTTGGAATACAAACCTATAAAAGTCTTGATCCTGGCTCTTCATGGAGGATTTCATACAGATACATTTCAGAATGAAGATTAATGCTATTTTCACCTAGTCTCTCCCTGATCTCAGTTCTGCACACTGGCTGAGTGTGTTAACGTCTTCCCTGCATTTTCAGAGACCTTGTGTCTGGCAGAAATGCCACAGATGATGTTTCTACCTTCTCACAGGTTCGGGGATATAAGAGACGGGGTTCAGGTGGAGAAATAAAATGATGAAATCTGGTTTAGGTGTGTTTTGTTTGAGGGCTGATGAGACATTCAGGAGGCTGTCACCAATAGGCATTGGGAAGTGTGGGACTGGAATTTGGGCAAGAAATCAAGCCTAGTGATGAGAATTTGTCACTTAGTTACCGAGAGATAAGGATTGCATGGTGTGACTAAGGTCATCAATGGGAAGAAAGATGAAAGCTGAGGTCAGAACTTATGGCATGTGTCACATTTCTGCTTTGTTTTATAATTTGCATGTTTATCTAATTTCTTCCTGTTATATTGTAAGCTGTTTAGGGTCAGGAACTGTTTTGTCTTCCATCTTTTTATCTTCCAGAGTACCAGCACAGTGCCTTACATAGAGTGAGCTTAGTACATAGTTATTGTGCCATGTGTTTAGGATGTGGAAAGAGAATCTAGAAAAGGAAAAAGTAGACCCAAAGCAGAAGAGGAGAGTCAAAATCAAGATAAGGTTGTGCCATCAAAGCTATAGGAAGAATATTGCAGGTCATTTTCATTTAGTGTTCTAGAGAGATCAGGGTAGATGAGAACTGAGAACTTAATTTGTTAACTTTTTAGGTCATTGTCTTCAAGAGAGGTGTTTGTGAAGTAAAAAGTGGGAGAACACATTGCAGACCTAAGGTCTTTTTTTTTTTTTTTGGTTTGTTTTTACATGTTTTCATTAGTGTTGGATGTGAATACTAATGTGACTAGGGATTCTAATAAGGGAAGAAGGTAGGTTGATATAGGGAGAAGTGAAAGGTGAGGAGGGCAGAAGAGGTTGTACTGGACAGAGATGGATAGGTATGATATGAAGGACTCCAAGGAGAGAAGTGTAGAACGAATTTAAGGGCCTAACATGATGGTGGCTGGTTGGCAGAGGGCATGGGAACATCTGAGGTCACTCATGCTAGATGGGATATCAGTATAGATTGTGAAGCTTTCTAGACAAATGCAGAAGAAAGTTGTACAGTAGAATTTAAATTAGTTGGGGAAAGTGGAGGACATCATGGACAATAAATAATTGGATGAGGGATAGAGGTAAATCCATGGCCTGGGAGGTGCTGCAAGGAGAAAGCCTGTTGCTTCTCCTTTCAGTGAGTTGAGGGGAGGGGAGAAAAATGACCTTCATTCTAGAGGGCTGTGGGAGAAATAATACCCAAGAAAAGCTAGGTGACGAACTTGAGAAAAAAATTACAGAGGAGAGAGATAAAAATTCAGATTACTTTCTCTCCCTATATAAAAAATATGGAAAGTTCAGAAACATGAAAATTGTTATTCTGTATATACTATATGTAAAGTATATGAAAGTTCCAATTTCCTGTCTGTTTTACAGAAAGGAGACACTCCTCTGCATATTGCTATTCGTGGGAGGAGTCGGAAACTGGCAGAACTTCTTTTAAGAAATCCCAAAGATGGGAGGTTACTTTATAGGCCCAACAAAGCAGGCGAGACTCCCTACAACATTGATTGTAGCCATCAAAAAAGTATTTTAACTCAAATATTTGGAGCCAGTAAGTACTGGGTTTTGTTCCTGACTGAGCTTTTTAAAAATGAATGTTATATGAAAAACTAAGAAGCCAATAGCAGTTTTGCATTTATCACTTAACTGGAGATTATGGAAGTTGAGAAAGTTATTATTTTGCTGTGGAAAAATACTCCTTCCTGTCAAGAACTCTTCTGCATTGTCCTGTGGCATCTAAATGAAGTACATCCGGAGTTGTCCATCAACTTTTAAGACCTCTAAAAATCTAGCCTGCTTTTCTAAAAATCTTTTCCTTCTTATTCTCCCAGGTATACTTTGTGCTTTTATCAAAACATGCTCTGTTTTCTCTGTGGCCTGAGCACTTAGAGGTCTCCATGTTTCCTTGTTATGCCTGCCACAGGTCTTACCTCTCCATCTTCACCAAGGTTCCTTGTCTGAATCTCTCTCCAAGGCTCCTGTCAGTTGTCCCCTTCTCAGTGACGTTTTAACTGATCTGCCTAAACCAGACAAAATTTTTGCCTCATTTGAATACTTAAGCACCTGTGTTTACATTTCTTTTTTTTATACTTATTATATCTGGCCTTCTTTTGCTTTTAGAATTTTCTCCCTTCTGATTCCAAGTTCTTCAGGACAGGGACTATTTCTTCTTATCTTTATGTCCTCTGTAACATCTAGCATAATGCTTCGAATATTGTACTCAAATAGTTTTTGATTGAGAAGAATGTACATGAGTATATAATCATATGTGGTGTTTTGAAATATGGAACAATTTTCTACTAGAATTAAAAAAGAGATACGACAGTCCCAGAAACCGAGGAGGTAGTAGAATCCCACCACCTTCCAGTTGAGCTTCTTACTTATAGATTGTTTTTAAGTATGCTTCTATTGTATTATGAGTTCTTGTATTTTAAAATATTTTTTCTGATAATATTAATGCACACTCATAAATTTCAAAAATGAAGACACGAATATAGTAGAAAGTGCAAATTTCCCATTGTCACTTATATCTTAATTCATAACTGTTGGACCCTACAGGATTTTCTATACATTTCTAAAAATGTTTTGTACTATATATACAGTTTTAAAAATTAATAATCGGGTCATACCGTATTATAAATGTTTTTAATAATGAACTATATTTAAAAGCTAGTACAGTAAACATCTTTGTACATGTATTCATTAACTCTTGTTTTTAGGATTATTTCGTAGAATAAATGCCCAGAAGTAGAATAGGCAAGTCAGTTAATGCTCAGAGTTTTGGGAGACTTTCCAAATGACTGTAACAATTTCTTCTGCCTTGGACCATGTACTGTAGGGCAGCTCCCCATGACCTTGAGAATACTGGAGAGCGCCAGCCTCCTTAATCTTTCCTAATCAAATCAATACGAGAAAAAAAATCTCATGTAATTTGCATTATAAAATTATTAGATTGTGATCTTTTCATATATTCACAGGATATTTGTATTTTTGTCATTTTCCTCTTTGTATCCTTTGCCCATTTTTCTCTTGAGTTGATATTTTTTTAAAAATTGATTTTAATGTCTTTATGTGTTATGGATATGGATCCTGGGTCCATCCTATATGTTGTACCCCCCTCCCAGCTTCTTCTTTGTTTATGGTGATGGATTTTTTTTATTCCCCATCTAAAAGTTATGCAGATTTGTAGTTTATTTGTTGGTCTTTTCCTGCAGTTCTGGCCTTAGTGTTATATTGAGAAAGAAGGGCCTTTTCCACACAAAGATTAAAAAGGTTTTTTCCCTTGTATTTTCTTCTAGTATTTTTTATGGTTTTTTACATTTAATTTTTTAATGTTTCAGAAACTTATTTTTTTAATTTAATTTTATTATGTTAGTCACCATACAGTAGTACATCATTAGTTTTTGATGTAGTGTTCCATGATTCATTGTTTTCATATAACACCCAGTGCTCCATGCAATACGTGCCCTCCTTAATACCCATCACCGGGCTAACCTATCCCCCCACCCCCCGCCCCTCTAAAACCCTCAGTTTGTTTCTCAGAGTCCATAGTCTCTCATGGTTTGTCTCCCCCCCTTCATTTTCCCCCTTCCTTCTCCTAATATCCTCCATGCTATTCCTTATGTTCCACAGGTAAGTGAAACCATATGATAATTGACTTTCTCTGCTGACTTATTTCACTTAGCATAATCTCCTCCAGTCCCATCCATGTTGATGTAAAAGTTGGGTATTCATCCTTTCTGATGGCTGAGTAATATTCCATTGTATATGTGGACCACATCTTCTTTATCCATTCGTCTGTTGAAGGGCATCTTGTCTCTTTCCATAGTTTGGCTGTTGTGGACATTGCTGCTATGAACAATGGGGTGGATATGGCCCTTCTTTTCACTACATCTGTGTCTTTGGGGTAAATACCCAGTAGTGCAATTGCTGGGTCATAGGATAGCTCTATTTTTAATTTTTTGAGGTACCTCCACACCATTTTCCAAAGTGGCTGTACCAACTTGCATTCCCACCAACAGTGTAAGAGGGTTCCCCTTTCTCCACAACCTCTCCAACATTTGTTGTTTCTTGCCTTGTCAATTTTTCCATTCTAACTGGTGTAAGGTGGTATCTCAATGTGGTTTTGATTTGAATTTCCCTGATGGCTAAGGATGATGAACATTTTTTCATGTGTCTGTTAGCCATTTATAGGTCTTCTTTTGAGACATGTCTGTTCATGTCTTCTGCCCACTTTTTGACTTGATTGTTTTTTTTGGATGTTGAGTTTGAGAAGTTCTTTATAGATCTTGGATATCATGATGCCCTTCGTCTGTAGTGTCATTTGCAAATATCTTCTCCCATTCTGTGGGTTGCCTCTTTGTTTTGTTGACTGTTTCCTTTGCTGTGCAGAAGCTTTTTATCTTGATGAAGTCCCACGAGTTCATTTTCCCTTTTGAGAAACTTATTTTTTTAAGGTATAAGATGTATAGAGTTTTCCTTTAATTTTTTTAAAAATGGATAGTTCGCACCTCCCAGCACCACTTATTAATTCCTCCCTTGCCCACTGGTTTGAAATGCCACTTATGCTAATATCTTGTGCTGGTTCTACAGTGCTTTAATTATTGTAGCTTTGTAGTATATTTTGATTTTTCTCCAAAGACAACTACTCTTTCTCTGGTAGTCTTTTTTTTTTTAAGATTTTATTTATTTATTTGACAGAGAGATAGAGAGAGCACAAGTAGGCAGAGCAGCAGGCAGAGGGAGAGGGAGAAGCAGGCTCTCCACTGAGCAGGGAGCCCGATGTGGGGCTTGATCCCAGGACCCTGGGATCATGACCCGAGCCGAAGGCAGACACTTAACTGACTGAGCAACCCAGGTGCCCCTCTCTGATAGTCTTAAAATTTTTTCTTAGCTATTCTTACATATTCTTCTGCCTTTCAATTTTTCAAAAATTCCTGTGGATTTTGATTGGAGTTGTCTTAAAGTGATAAATTAATTTGGTGAGAATTGCTGTCTCAAAGCTATTAAACCTTTCTGCCTGGAGCCATATAATGTCTCTTTTTCTCTGATTACTATATTTTATTATTCAGTAACATTTAATAGCTTTTTGTATATAGATATTAACACATATTAAATTTATTCCTATATCCTAGTTTGTGTTTTAATCATATTTTATTGATTCTAAAATGTACATTGTTCCATGTTTTAACATGTCTGAAATTGGAATGTGTTTTATAATTGATGGATAAGAGAGCATTGTGTCACAGTTTGGCAACATGTTTTTTCTTTCTTAGTTATACATAATAATGATGCATCTTACAATAAGTAGGTATCTTAAGTTCAGTGAAATAACAGTGTTTAAGAATCTTTTAACCGGGGCGCCTGGGTGGCTTAGTCGTTAAGCGTCTGCCTTCGGCTCAGGTCATGATCCCAGGGTCCTGGGATCGAGCCCCGCATCGGGCTCTCTGCTCAGCAGGTAGCCTGCTTCTCCCTCTCCCACTCCCCCTGCTTGTGTTCCCTCTCTCGCTGTGGGTCTCTGTCAAATAAATAAATAAAATCTTTAAAAAAAAAAAAAGAATCTTTTAACCTATTTTTTATACAGATGTAACCATTTAATAAAACAGTTTTTTTCTAATTAAATAAACAATTGATAACTGAGAATTGATGTTCCTTTTTTAGTGGCAATGTCTCTTTTTAATGTAAGGATATGGTGTGTTTATAATTACAGGACACTTGTCTCCTACTGAAACAGATGGTGACATGCTTGGCTATGATTTGTATAGCAGTGCGCTGGCAGACATTCTCAGCGAGCCTACCATGCAGCCACCCATTTGTGTGGGGCTGTATGCACAGTGGGGAAGTGGGAAATCCTTCTTACTGAAGAAACTAGAAGGTAAAGGGCATGTTTGTACAAAGTCTGTATATATAATGAAGCTTTCTCTGGTGTTTTTCCTGAAGTAAAGCAAAATAGATTTTCATGTATGAGTATGTGTTGCACAGGTTACTAAATTGAATGTGTTACTCCTTCCAGTTGATCCTCCACACAATCATTTGAGTTCTCTTCCTAAAACAAAGATCCAGTTGTGTTATAACATTCTTAAGATCCCTTGGTAGCAGATTTTCTGCGTGTGCTATTTTTATTATTATTATTAATTTTAAGTAGGCTCCACCTAACATGGGGCTTGAACTCAGGACCCCAAGATCAAGAGGTGCATGCTCCACTGCCAGCCAGGCGCCCCTGCATATGCTCCTTATAGTCATCCTATCCAGAGCCCTCCCTAAACTTGTCACTTCGCATGGCACACCCACCAGCGCTGCCTCATGCGTATGCCCCGTGTTACAGTTACAGAGGGCTGTTGACTCTTGCAAGAACAGACTAGATACTTTTCCTGAGTTGCTCCTGTTGTTAGGAACTTCCTAGACAGCTCCTCTCACTGCCCCTTTGATTGGCAAAATCTTACTCATTCTTCAAGGACAGGTTTCAGTATTGCCTGTAAAGTTTTTATCAAATAGCAAAGTAACGTGTTCCAGTTTTGTATGTGGAAACTATACCTTGTTGCTTAAATAATACAAACCACAAAAAATAAAAACAAAATCTTGACAGATGGGAATATATGAAAAAGGATTTGTGTATCCTCAGTATGAAGCAAGAGAGTGGGTAAAACAAGGATGGGTGTACCCCTAGGGAATGGAATTAGGATGTTTATCTAAATAAGACATTGGCAAAAATGGTTGAGGAGCAACATTCTATCTAGGAACTTAGTAGTAAGTGCCCAGTAAACGTTTATATTGAAAATTGCAAATTGAGTTAGAAGTTGTATTTCTTAAAAACTTGGGAGAAAAAAACCAAAACTACACCTGAAACTAATATTACTCTGTTAACTAACGGGAATTTAAATAAACACTTGGAGGGGGAAAAAAAGAAGTTGTATTTCTTAAAACAGGATTAAGATTTTCCTATTTCTCTTTCAGATGAAATGAAGACTTTTGCAGGACAACAGATTGAACCTCTTTTTCAGTTTTCCTGGCTTATAGTATTTCTGACCTTGCTGCTTTGTGGAGGGCTTGGTTTATTGTTTGCTTTTACGGTCGACCTGAATCTTGGGATAGCAGTGTCATTGAGCTTCTTGGCTCTCTTATATATATTTTTTAGTAAGTTTTTGCTTTTTATTTTTTCAAAAAATAGAGACAGGGTTAAGACTCCTTGTTTTATTTAAAAATATTAACTTAATAGTTTATATATCTATATTTATAAAATATAAAATATTATCTATACCTCTCCTATAAGTGATTTTCATAATTAATTAAAAGATTTTCATAATCTTTTTGCTGTTTTATAAGTTAGCCTAGAGGAACTGTCCACAACCTGGCTGGAGTAGCTTTAAACACTGGTGTACTACTCGTTGATATTGAAGTAGAACTCTTATTTATTATACTCACTTTTTTATATGCTAATGACTTACTATATTTTAAGTCTTTTTTGAAAGTAAGTCTTCATAGCCATCAATGGCATGCTCTTGGGCATTTTGATCATGCCTATGATCTTTATTTTACTTAAAAGCAAAGAAAAAAAACAATTATAGTCCTATTCTTAGGGGATATATTCAGTTGTAGCAGAGGAAATAGATTCGCTATTGGAGGAACTGGTAACTTCAACAGGTGCAAAAAGTGATAAACCCAAAATCATTTACATTTGAGTCTGAACTAAGTGATATGTTTCTGTTTAAGGCATTATCTTTCTGACTGTGTTTCTTACGTCATATTTTAGCTAGTTTCCTGTTTTCCACATACCTTCTCTGTGTTGGTTAATTAGCTGAGGAATTCTTTGAGGAGTAGTTAGGAAACAGCATGGAACCAGGGAAAGTCGTGTAAGCCTACCTCTCATTACTTGATATTTGACAGTGTGAGAAGAGAGGCTGCTTGAATGATGATTGTTTTGAATAATTTTTTTAAACTGTGAATTTCAGTTGTCATTTACTTTGGTGGACGAAGGGAAGGAGAGAGTTGGAATTGGGCCTGGGTCCTCAGCACTAGATTGGCAAGACATATTGGATATTTGGAACTCCTCCTCAAATTGATGTTTGTAAACCCACCTGAATTGCCAGAGCAGACCACTAAAGCTTTACCTGTGAGGTGAGTTGGTCCCCTTGACAGAAGTAGCTTTTCATAAGATGAAGCAAAAATAAAGTTTATAATGCGTTCTCAGTGTATGTTCCAAAAAAGCATTGATTTCTTTTTTTTTCCCAAAGATTTTATTTACTTATTTATTTGTCAGAGAGATTGAGAGAGAGAGCACAAGCAGGGGGAGTGGCAGGCAGAGGGAGAGGGAGAAGCAGACTCCTCAGTGAGCAAGGAGCCCGATGTGAGACTTGATCCCAGGACCCTGGGATCATGACCCAAGCTGAAGGCAGACACTTAACGGACTGAGCCACCCAGGCATACCAAGGCATTGGTTTCTTGAGCTTTTTATATGAGAAATAAAACAACATGTCCTGGTTAAGTAGGTTTGAGAAACACTTTATATCATATCTTCCTCTTGTACATAAAAGGATGAGAGACCCCTCTCCCTAAGAAAATCTGGTTAACTTGGATTTACCAAATTTGATCTGGGCATAACCGCCCCCCATGACACCTTTTCCATCCTTTAGGAACACTTTGAAGAGAGCACAGGATGTAGGATGGGGTCCTGGCATCCCCTTGCATTAGCATGTAACCTTGGCTACTGAGTGTGCCCTCTGAACCACTCTTTCCTCACCTGTGGAAATAAATTGACTTGCCTATCTAAAATTATTATTAATGTCAAATAGGAAATGTATGAGAAAAGAGTTCAGAAAAGGTGAAAAACATGTATGTCAAGAATAAAGGAAAGGTAGAGGGCTCCAGAGGAACGTCAAGTGAAAAACAGAATTGAAAGCAAGAGGAATTCAATAAAAATTAGCAAAATAGTTAAATGCATACTAAATGATTAAGAATTTTAAAATTATTACAAGATAAAATGTGTAACTTAAGATGAAAATTAATAGGCCAAACCAGATGAAACATCAAAACTATAAATATAATAGATAAAAATAAAATAAAAAACTTGTGTAGTTAGCATATATGATTAAGTATTAGGAGAAGGATTTACAAATGAAAAGGTAAAATGAAAAAGTTAAGAAAACATACAGAGTGGAATAAAATAATTGAGGGAAATATTTTCACAGAAAATTTATTTTAAATTAATGAGATGTTATTTAAAAAAAGTTAGAACAATTAAAATAGCATAAATCACGGGCGCCTGGGTGGCTCAGTTGTTAAGCATCTGCCTTTGGCTCAGGTCATGGTCCCAGGATCCTGGGATCGAGCCCCGCATCGGGCTCCCTGCTCGGTGGGAAGCCTGCTTCTCCCTCTCCCACTCCCCCTGCTTTGTTCCTGCTCTCACTGTCTCTCTCTCTGTCAAATAAATAAAATCTTTAAAAAAAAATAGCATAAATTAGTATCACACAACAGAGTACAGTGTGATCCTAGATTGTATTTTGAAAGCAGTGCTTTTCTACTGGATTGAGATGAGCATTTAATTTAGGGATAGAAGGGGAGAAAGGAGCAAATGCAGAAATCCTATCCACTCAGAGGATCAGGATACAAATTATTCAGTTATCTCAAAGAACAACCTGAAAAGAATCTTTTACACCTCATTTCTAAATCCTTACTAAATGTTTAAGCTATAAATAAAACATTCTGAAACTTGAGTTTTGAAATGGCCTTAAATTCTTAATGACTGTAGTATTCTGTCAGCCTTCTGATCTCTTCGGTTGGGGCCTCACATGCTTCCCCGCGTGGCTCTTTCAGTCCCTGTGCCGAAGGCCCTGCATGTGTCCGATGCCATGCCTGAGCTCTGCCGCCACGTTTGACCCTGCTGCTTTTCGTCAGAATTAACTGCATACAACTCTGCCACATTTTACTTTGGTTATTGCCTTTTCCTAAGACAAGTATGTACGATGTTAGAAGTGGAAGGAACCTAATTACAAGTTCTTTTCCCTCTTCAGAACTTGAATGACAATATTTTAAAAGAGACATTAAGAAAATGTAGGGTACATGATACAGAATTGATGTATGTGGAAATTATTTATTTCTTTAGATATCTGAGTAACATTTTACTTCCTTTCCCCCCAAGGTTTTTGTTTACAGATTACAACAGGCTGTCCAGTGTAGGTGGAGAAACATCGATGGCTGAAATGATCGCAACTCTCTCAGATGCCTGTGAGAGAGAGTTTGGCTTTTTGGCAACCAGGCTCTTTCGAGTATTCAAGACTGAAGATACACAGGGTAGGACTTTCTTCTTCCTCCTCCTTTATGTGTGTAGGGGATGAGGCTGGGATGAATGTTCAGTGCATTTCTGTGAAAACACGAATTGAACATCAGAAATTCATATGCCATGACTGTCACGGTTAGGTTCCTCTAGATACTTGGTATGTAGATAATTGGTAAAACCATTTGTTGTCTTACAGGCAAAAAGAAATGGAAAAAAACGTGTTGCCTGCCATCTTTTGTCATCTTCCTTTTTATCTTTGGCTGCATTATTGCTGGAATTACTCTCCTGGCTATCTTCAGAGTTGACCCAAAACATCTGACAGTGAATGCTGTCCTCATATCAATCGCGTCAGTAGTGGGATTGGCCTTTGTGCTGAACTGTCGTACATGGTGGCAGGTGCTGGACTCTCTCCTGAATTCTCAAAGGAAACGCCTCCATAATGCTGCCTCAAAACTGCACAAACTGAAAAGTGAAGGATTCATGAAGGTAAGCACTCACTGATCATTAGAAAGTAAATGAATGTGGGTATGCTACCATGACCCTGATGGTGGGGCTTTAGGGCGTGGACTCTGTAAATGTTTCAGTGTTGCATTTGTTTTTAGTTTTAGTCCAGATTTGCCCTGTGGAAATGTACATTTGAAGTGGGAAAAATGAAAACAATACAGGTTTTTATAAAATAGACTTTTGTAAGGTACTTCTAGGAGTTAGGGGATTGCTCCACAGGTCACCACCTCCCTACTAGTAATGGGTTTCCTGCCTAATAAGATAGGCTCCTCTAGAGCCCGGTAGAGGAAGCAAATTAAACCACCAAAACATATAAAATAGGACCATACTTTTAGAATCAAAAGGGACTTTATACAATATCTGTAACCCCTTCCTTTGATCAAGGTCATGTGCCATCAGGAGCCAGCGGTAGTGTGGTGTTTAGATCATTTGAATTTGCATTCAGTTCCTAGTCTTTTGACTTTCAGAGCATGTGATCTTGGCAAATAAGTCACTCAGCCCAGTTTGTCCTTTTACAGTGGGTGTGACTGTGGCTACCTCATTGTAAGGGTAAAATGCTCTAATTTATGTAAAGTCATAAATTTATAAATTATCACATTTATAAATTGTGAAGCACTCACTGCGGTTTTAAGTGGGACCAAAACTGGCAGTGAGGACGTGGGATTTCTTTTCTTGCTATTAGATGAGCTTCTGTCAGACTTTTTAAGAAATGTGCTTAAATTTCTTTTATCTTCAGTGCTTCTGTCCTTTCTTTTGCATAGGTTCTTAAGTGTGAAGTGGAATTGATGGCCAGGATGGCAAAAACCATTGACAGCTTCACTCAGAATCAGACGAGGCTGGTGGTTATCATTGATGGATTAGATGCCTGTGAGCAGGACAAAGTACTCCAGATGCTGGACACTGTATGTCTTCGCCATCTTGAAACTTATAATTGTCACATGTGGTAGCTGAGAGGAATGACTTTGTGAATTTCTCAAGTGGAATTTGAATAGTACTTTCTCTTTTGTCAAACCAACTATTTTTTTTAAGATTTTTATTTTTTATTTTTTATTTTTATTTATTTGACAGAGAGAGAGACAGCCAGAGAGGGAACACAAGCAGGGGGAGTGGGAGAGGGAGAAGCAGGCTTCCCGCAGAGCAGGGAGCCCGATACGGGGCTCGATCCCAGGACCCTGGGATCATGACCTGAGCCGAAGGCAGACGCTTAACGACTGAGCCACCCAGGCGCCCCAAACCAACTATTTTTTTTTAAGTGCAGAAGTATAGCAGGAGTAAATGTCTCATCACAAACAGATTTAAATAATTTTAGCTTCAATGGCTGTGTGAGAAAATGAACAAAATAGCTCTGAAGTCCATAGTGTGACTCCAGCTTTCTTTTGCAGATAGTTATGGTTAGAATCAGAGGCAACAGTAGAGAACCCACAGAATTTGTAGTTTTTGTTTAAATAGGGGTACATCAGTGGCTCTCTATAAGGTATGTTAAAACAATAGTGTGTAGCTATGGAGAGAGACCAGTGTGCCCAGCACCTCATGTATATTCACAAAATTCCTGTGTGTTTTGATCTTTCCTTTTAATGTAGACCGTAAATATCTCAAAATAAGACAGGATTAGTTGTTTTCTTTGGAGGTTTTATCACTGTTAGATGGTGAAAAATTGTCAGATGGTGAAAAAACAGATTGAGACTTCAATGAAATTTGTTTTCATATGAAATAAGAGTTTGAAAAAAGATAGTATTTAAAAAATATAGTCACCAAAGGATAGTACAGATTTGAAAGGGACTTTTTGTTGCCTTGGATAATTTGAAATTTATATCATAAGTACACATTTTTTCTACCACAGGTCCGAATTCTGTTTTCAAAAGGCCCATTCATTGCCATTTTTGCAAGTGATCCACATATTATTATAAAGGCAATTAACCAGAACCTCAACAGTGTGCTTCGTGACTCAAATATAAATGGACATGACTATATGCGCAATATAGTTCATTTACCTGTTTTCCTTAATAGTCGTGGACTAAGCAATGCAAGAAAATTTCTTGTGACTTCAACAACAAATGGGGACATTCCATGCACAGATAATGCAGGTAAAGATCCAGTTCCTCACGTACTTCGGTTTGAAGTAGTTACATAGTGTTTTATGGTGACTCCCCTTTTACCTTGAAAAATACTGTTGGTATTTCATTTCTCTTTAAACATCATGTACAACAGGGGCACCTGGGTGGCTCAGTCGGTCAAGTGTCTGCCTTCAGCTCAGGTCGTGATCCTGGGGTCCTGGGATCGAGTACCGCATTGGGGTCCCTGCTCTGTGGGGAGCCTGCTTCTCCCTCTGCCTCTGCCTATCTCTCTGTCTGTCTCTCATGAATAAATAAAATCTTTAAAATAAATATCATGTACAACAGAATTTTAATACAGTGGTGCTCTCTCGACAAATTCTTTAAGGGATACAGGAAGATGCTGACAGAAGAGTTTCACAAAACAGCCTTGGAGAGATGACTAAGCTCGGTAGCAAGACAGCCCTTAATAGACGGGTAAGAGGCCACTGTTTTGAGCCATGTGTTTGTATTGCTGTTGTTCAAATAAAGCTAAGCTGATACTACTTAAATATATGCTACTGTAAATATTACATTAAACTCATCAAATAAATTGTATTATTGAATTTCCTTTTGGCTTCAGGTGGCATTTTAGGAAACGTGAGCCTAGAGCCCGTAACAACTGTGGATTGTGTGGTAGGCCCCATCCTCTCCTAACCTGTTCCCAGGTGTCCTTCCTCCGAGCAGCTGAATCAGAATCTTTGGGAGTGAGATTTTAAAGCTCTCCAGATGATGTCATCCGGGGTTGAGAACCCCCGTATTCATTCCAGGTTAGGTTGTACCCGTTCCAGGTGCCTGTTGCCACCAGAGCTGTACGGGGGAAAGAGGCTCGTGGTGTGAGAAGAGCTCCATGCTCTTTCTGCTGGCTTTCCTCTTTTCCTATCTGTGAGGTGTGACCCTTTCTTTTACACCCACAGAGTAATTGTGTGTCCTGCCCAGCCACCTCAGGTTTCTCCTCGAACACTCGTGTTTTCCCTGTCCTACTCCACTCTTAGAACCCTCTTTTGTATATAGATCGAGAGAGTATTATAAGACAGGAAGATGTCCACTTGCAGGTAAGTTACAGTGATAGTGCCACTTAACATTGGGCTAGCATTGGCACTGTTTTCTTTTTCCTAGTTTGCTACCATTACATTTGGGACATTTTATATAATGTGTCTTCAGTGACATTTTAATGTTTTGATTTTATGTCTCTAACCTATATAAGTATGAATGCAAAATTAATATCACTTGATAGTAATAAATTAGGAGGAGGGTATAATTTCACATTTCGAATTTGTCTCTTAGTAGTCTGGCCTTTTGGGCTCCCTGTGCTTCATTCACCATGACTTCAGATGAGAACTCACCTTTGTTGTGCCTGTTGTTCCTCGGATTCGAAGGGATTCTCTATCCCACTCTGCCCACTAGAGCGCCTTTAATTCTTTTTTTTAAAAAAATTTTTATTGTTATGTTAATCCCCATACATTACATCATTAGTTTTCGATGTAGTGTTCCATGATTCATTGTTTGTGCATAACACCCAGTGCTCCAT